TTTTTTTTTTTTTTTTTTTTTGAGTTGGAGTCCCACTCTGTCGCCCAGGCCCAGGTTGGTCTTGAGCCTGCGGGCTTAGGCAATCCTCTCATCTCAGATATATATAGTTTTTTGAGTTGGAGTCTTACTCTGTCGCCCAGGCTGGAGTGCAGTGGCATGCTCACAGCCAGCACAGCCTCGACCTGCTAGCTTAGGTGACCCTTCCGCCTTAGCCTTCCAAGTAGCTGGAACTACAGATGCATGCTACCACGCCTGCTAGTTTTAGTGATTTATTGTAGAGATGAAGTCTCACTAAGTTGCCCAGGGTGGTCTCGAATCCCCAGGCGCAGGTAATCCACTTGCCTCAGCCTTCCAAAGTGCTAGGACTACAGGCTGAGCCACCATGCCCAGCCCCAGTACATATTACTGTATGAAAGATACATGTTATCAGATTGTCATTCCTTTGTAGTTTATCTTTTTTCTTTGATTTATTGCCACCAAACTTTTTATTTAAAAAATTTTTGCCAGGCATGGTGGCTCACGCCTGTCAAGGCTGTAGTGGCTGTGAGCATGCGACTGCACTCCAGCCTGGGTGATAAAATGAGACTCTAACTTAGAAAATAAATAAATAAATAAATAAAATAAACAAATTTCACAGGAATAATACAATATATACTCACATACCTTCATCAAGACTCTCTAATGTTAATATTTTGCTACATTTGCAGTCTCCATTTTAGTTAGTTGCAATCATCCCTAAATATTGCAGCCTATCTATGTAGATTATTCTCCTAGTCATAGTAAAACAATAATACTCAAGAAATTTAACACTGATACAACATACAGCCTGTATTCAAATTTCCACAATTGTCCCCAAAAATGCCCTTTATAGCTTCTTAAAAAAATTCAAGAATCCAATCGGGGTCTTGTCATATTGCTAGAATTGCTGTGTCTCTTTATTCTTCCTTAATCCAGAAAAAAATTCTAGTTGCTATTTTATGACACCCATATTTTTGAAGAGTCCAGGGTGGAAGTTCAGCAGAATGTTCCTCACTATGGATTTATTAGATTGTTTTCTCATTATTAGACTCAGATTAAACTTTATTTTGGCAAAAATACTACACAGATGATGTGGTGTCTTTCTGTTTAACATACTAGGAGGCACGTGATATCAGTCTAATGGCGTACTATTGATCATTAATCATTTAATTAAGCTAATGTCCACTGGATTTTTTCACTTTTGAAGATACCATTTTTCCTTTGTAATTAATATATAGAGTGAAACTTGAGACTGTGACTATTTTTTTCTCCAGCAATCTTTAATCCAATGGCTTTAACATTTGATGATTCTTGCCTGATTGGTTTTGTACTTTTTAATATGTTCCTTTTATCCTTGATGTCTATACTATGTCTGGATATGAGTTTATTTTTATTTGTTGTGCTTTTACTTGGGGTATAATTTTATCTGAGAACTTCTGTCATTCTTCAATTTTGAAAAACTCTCAGACATTACCTCTCCAAAAATTACTTCATCTTTCCTTCTATTAGCTTCTAGAAATAAATTCAAAACTCAAATTATTCTCCAAGCCAAAAATACTCTTAACTATTTTTTTTAATCTGAGTGTTTCCAATGCCTTTTGTGTGACTTGATTAGTACTGTTGTCCAATTTACTAATTATTTTTGACCAAGTTCAGCCTAGAGTCTCATCTGTTCCTTTTTATTTTGACAACTATATTTCTTAAGATTTTTAATAGTTCACTTTTTATATACATCCATTTAAAGTCATTTCTATCCACTTTTGCTTTATAATTTCACTTTCTTTTGCTTACAGATATATGTCTTCATTCATTTTTTGAGCATTTAACCTAGAATTATAAAAAGCCTCCCCAACCTAAAAAAAAACCTTGGTAAGAATGTTTTATAAAACTAAATGTGAAGTAAATTCATGATTCAATTGTTAATTTTTTTGGGGGGGTGGAGTCTCATTCTGTCGCCTAGGCTGAAGTGCAGGGGCGCACTCATGGCTACTGCAGCCTCGACTTACTGGGCTCAGGTGATCCTTCCACTTCAGTCTTCAGTAGCTGGAATTACAGACATGCGCCATCATATTCAGCTCAATTGTTGATTTTTAAAACATTATATTTCTTCATATGTTAAGCTTTTTCTTTTATTCTTTTACATTTTATCTGTTATCACTTCTAACTCTTTAGTCTTTTGTGAGAAATTTACAGTTGGCTATTTAGGTTTCAGGAATCATTTGCTTTTTTTTTTTTTTTTAAAATCACGTACCCCAGTATCTAATATCCTGATAAGAACAGAGGAATTTCACCCTAGCTACTGAGTTTTAAGACATATGCCTAAACCAGAGGTGGTAGTCCATGCCTATAATCCCAGAATTTTGGGAGGCCAAGGCAGAAGATTGCTTGAGTCCAGGAGTTCAAGAACAGCCTAAGCAACATAGCAAGATCTTTTATCTACTGTAAAAAGAAAGAAAAAGAAAGAAAGAAAGAAAGAAAGAAAAAGAAAGAGAAAGAAAGAAAAGAAAACAAATAAGCCTGGTCCATCGACATCTAGCACTTTGGTTTCTTTTTCTTTTACCCTGCAAGGACTTACCTCCAGAATGATGTTACTGCTTCTAGATCTAGGACACTGCAAAGCTAGTATCAGTTCCCACATTCACTTTACATTTTTGTGCTTTTTTGGTCTACTGAAACAGTTGTCTTGTTAAGCCTGGCTATCTCTTCTTATATTTATTTCTTTTATAATCTATTATTACTATGTGTTTGAAGTAGAAAAGTATGTCAATGTATGAACTTATTATGTTGTCTTGACTGTAAGCCCTGAATAAGTTTGTAATATTCCATTAGGCCTTTCCTTTACCTTTACAAAACAAAGAGCTATATATCCTACTGTTTAGAGCATAAGATATTCAAATGAAAACACAGTCTTCATCATATAATTCTTTATACTATATTACCGAATTGGCTGTAGTTGCTTAGAGTTCCTTCTGCCAAGCTTTCTTTCCATCATGTCATAATGGGTCAAAAGCACTAACAATTTCTCACATGCATAGTGACTGGGCCACTCCATTTTTTCATGAGTAAATCTCTGTAAATAAAGTAAGATTTTGTTATCTCTTGAAGATAAATAGTTCTCTTAGGTAATATTATTTTTTCCTTTAGAATTAACATTAAAGCAGTATCAATGAGAATATTTTGAGAAAGAACAGTAAGCCTCCTAAGGTGGACATATTGCTTAATGATTAAGCATGAGGGTTCTTGGTTTGAGTGCCAGTATGATATTTCACAGATGTTGGGTAAATTACTTAATGTTGCTTAGCTTAGTTTTTCCATCTGTAAAGTGAAAATAATATAACCCAGCTCACAGATTATGAAAATTAAGTGAGATTACAATGTAGTATGTTTAATTCAACAACAAATTTTAAATGTTCATTTTGGTTGTCATTATTAATAAAGTTGTTGGTGGGGATAAGTAATAAGTCGTAGCAATTTATTGAGACACTCTGCCCTTAGCCACTAAATTAGGGGTTAATATAAGCTTATTTAATCCTCATGGTAACATCAAGAGATAAATAAGACTTCTATTTTGAAGATAATACATATCCAGGGCCACACAGAAAATGAAATATTGTCCAAACTTAAAATTAGGTTGCTAATTTCAAATCCCAATGCTTTTGTAAACTGTACTGTCTTCTATAATGATATATTTGACCCTAACATTCTCTGGTCATTAGCTTCTCTTTCCCCAGCGTATCCATGGATACGATATATCCATATATGATAATTAAGGCATCTCCTAAAAAAGTGGTATAATTGTAGTTTGTCTTATGGTGTGCAAAGTATGGCCACTGTGTGGCAAAGGAGAGATAAGAAATAAATGGGCAGTCAATAGTTGCCTGTTTTAATGTTTAAATCTCCTCTCAGGCCAAAGTGAATATCCCTCCCTATCTTTCCAGTATCTAACTTCATACTGTAAAGCAAGAATTTATTTGCAGATACCTGAAACAATAATAAATCAGGCCTTCGGTACCTGATTACCTTCACTAATTTATCCTTGCTCAAAAGGAATTCTTGTATAACCTAGCAAGAAAAAAGAAAATAGGAATTTAGATTTTAAAGCTTTTAAGAAAGTTTCTAAAACACACAGTTGAATTATCAGTCATTACCTCATGGAATGGGAATCCCTCACAACTGGAAGCTTTTCTGAAAATAAATTATATACACATTATTACTACAGTCAGGCAATTTTAGACAAACTGAGAAATCATCTCATCCAATCTCCTCCCACTGAATAAAAAATGTGCATGGACAGTATCTCAAACAGTTATCAAGTTTCTTTTTGAGTAATTATCACATTACAATCTTCTGAGATAGTTGAATGTTCTTTAGCAGAATCAAGAAAAAGATTTTATGAAACATGTGACCAATCTAGACATGTGTGGAAACACTATTTGGAAATAATTCAACCACAGGTGAGGCTAAAGGCTATGCTACGAAAAAATAAGTCTTAAAAAAACTTACTTCTTAATATTGTTCTCTACTCCACTCAGCTGCCTATCATGCTCTGTACGGTGCCACTCACAAGGACAACAGGATTCATAATCATGTGGCTCACAATATCTATCACTTTTACATAATTTGCATCCATTACGTTCGTGATTCTTAGGTGAACCTTCATGAGACACAAAAGTACATTGTTTACTGCCTTTTAGAATTACCTTCTACCTACATTCTTTGCATCATTATCCAAATATTAAAAAATTAATACTGCCTAGCACAGTATCTAGCATATAGAAGGATTTCAATACTTTTAGGTTGAATAGATAGTGGACACCATGATAATTCTTAGGATAAAGTAGATGAGATATTACTATCACATGACAATTTAAACAATTATTCTTCTATCTGAAAGTATCAATTTATAATTTGAAATTATGCATTTAAAAGAATTAACAACAGAAAACTTTCTGGTTTAAGTAGAAGTTACATGTAAGAAAAGTTGGATGTAATTATTAGAAAGAAAGATCACTTACTTAATATAATAGTTGCAACAAAATAGTCTCTTTAATGAGCATATTCAAAGAATATATCAGTTAATTACCTCTGCTAGTGTCTAGCTCTCAGTTACAAGTATAGTTATTTTTAAACTATGCTTGGAACATGATCATAATGACTATAGCACGGATGTGGGAACCTAGTTCCCTTTAAAAGGACAGTGTGATTATCTTCAACTTTGTTAGGAGAATATGGAAGAACATACATACTTGATATAACCTACAAGTGCCATTTATAAGGTATCAAAAACTTACAATGGCATCTTATTTATAAATACCTTTATTTTCTTCCATGATTTCATCTATAAAATGTTAATGAAAACATATTAAGAGAAACAGCTGAAGCAGAATTTATCTTAAAAGATAAGCTAATATGTCATCTCTTTGGGGAATGAAATGCCTTTCTGATCAGAACATGTTTAGTGATATCGTTTTTAATCAAGACTAAAGAAGATCAGTGCTATTTTTAATAATAGTGAACATATATTAGACATTAACTTCTTTTTTTTTTTTTTGAGTTGAAGTCTCACTCCATCGCCCAGGCTGGAGTGCAGTGGCACAACCACGGACACCCCAGCAATGACCTGTTGGGCTCCGGCAATCCTTCTGCCTCACCCTTCCAAGTAGCCAGAACTACACTCGTATGCTACCACGCCTGACTAATTTTTGATTTGTTGTAGAGACGAAGTCTTGCTAAGTTGCCCAGGCTGGTCTCGAACCTGTGGGTTCAGGCAATCCACTCGCCTTGGCCTCCCAAAGTGCTGGGATTACAGGCTGAGCCACCAAGCCCAGCCAGACATTAATTTCAAGTCAATATTTTCACACAATAAAAATGCATTACAGAACAATGAAGAATCATTTAAATATAAAAATATAAACATAAATCACCGATATAATAACAAATGGTTTCAGTTACATTTTCCACTAAGATTTGTCAGTGCAATATTTTTTTTTCTTAAGATGGATTTCTACAGGAAAAACACGATAATTTTAGATCTAATTAATTTAGTATCATAGTCTGAAACTGCACTTATCCTATTTGTTATTTATATCACATTATTGCTTTTAACAAACATTTACTTAGTGTATACTATGTGTATATAACACAACTCCTGAATCCAAGGAATTCCCAATCAAGTGGGGAAGACAATGTAGAATCCTTCAAAATACTATGAATATAGGTATGTTAAAAGAACATTAAAAATAGGAATGACAATGTGGCATGGATACCAGACACTAATAGTCTAGAAATATCATTCTCTAGTCTGCTTACCTGGATGCAAACACACGGAACAATGAGCCAATTTTGGGGCAATTAGTGGCTGTGGTTTAGAGTAGCAAGATGTTTCATTCCACTGATTAAACCTTCAATAGAAAATGGTTTTTAAAAAAAGAAAAAAATGAGGCACAAAAAATGCTATCTTCTCAAATGTCAGGCAATTTTATTCCCTTTCACCTACCTAATTACTTGCCCCTTGGTGGCTGATAAAGATGCTGGCCTAGTCTAGAAAAACCCTCAGCCACAAGTTTTAAATGTGGTCTCAAGAACAGCAGAACTGTAAGACAGGAGAGAGAAGGTGTACCTATATATCTATATCTCTCTATATATGCATATATATTCACTCAGCTTTTTTTTTTTTTTAATTAGAGACAGGGTCTTAGTCCGTCACTCAGGCTGGAGTGCAGTGGCATGATCTTGGCTCACTGCAACCTCCACTGGCTGGGCTCAGGCGATCCCTTCTACCTCAGTCTCCTGAATAGCTGGGACTACAGGCATGCACTACAACTTCTAGAAAATTTATTTTTATCTTTATTTTTTGTAGATACCGGGTGTCACTGTATTGTCCAGGCTGGTCTTGAACTCCAGGCCTCAAGGGATCCTCCCATCTTGGTATCCCAAAGCACTGGGATTACAGGCCTTATCCACTGAGCTCAGGCTTTTTTTTAAGAACCTTAAGTTAAGCAGCTATATGCGAGTAGACGGAATGGTAAATGTCTGTTTTTGATCTCTTGTAATATCTGGTGCTTAGAGTTATTATTTAGTTATTGGAATTTCCAACTCATTTACTATAAAGACCAAGCACAAACTTGCTGAAAATTAGCATTTATTGCTTCTGGATAAATAATTAAAATTAATAAGTGGACAGTCAGCCTAAATTAATAAAAATTAGAATAACAGATAATTATAAAATATAATTTTATTACTTTCAAGAATTAAGGTGAACACAATAAAATCTTGCTTAGTGTACTTATTTGCTCAAAGTGTTTCAGTAAGAATGGTTTAGAGTTAGCTAAGTACCATATTTACTTGCTTTTCCTTCTCTATATCATTCTTCACTATTCACTCACTCACTCACATGCCACAGTATACCTTTTCCTTCCTGCTTTAGCATAGTGATAACTGATGTCAATAATGGATTTATCTAAGTCTTAGATTTATCAGTAGCTTTACAACTGAAAGAGAAGCATTATAGGAAAGAATATAGTGATTTGAATTATTTTTCAGTCATTCCCCTTTTATTTCTACCACTTAACATTTCTTTCAGACACTCGCTATCTCAAATCTATTAGAGGCCAAGAGTGTTTTAAGCTTCCCAGTGTCCTAGTTCCTTTCTTGTTTAGCCTTTAACTTATCATCATTAATATAACTTTGTTTTATAAACCATTGCTTTCATCAAGTAAACATAATTCAGTGGTTTTTAAGGCAGTAAATAGCACAGATTATAAACTTCAGTATAATTTGTATCTTAATTGTTTTGCATCCTCAAATTATAGAGACTAAATCAATTAGAGTATTACGAACGGTATAGCTAGAGAATAAAGGTCAAGTAAAATTTTTATATTGCCTATTATTAAATATTTGTAACATACCACAAATACTTCATCTACAGAAAATAAATACAATTTCAAAGTATTATATCCAAAATTATTTTAATATCATGTTTGTCTTTACTTGGTGGTAGTTTAAAATAGCTGGTGGCAGAATGCCCATGGTTATAAATAAATGAATTTGACATCATACTAATTGCTTAGTGAGTTAATAATATATTTTTTAAAAATTGGCATGGTTTAGAACTTCAAAATAAAACATATTTTACATGAAAAGATAATTATAAAAATACAAAACCCTTTTGTGGAAAACAATTCCTTTTTTGTAATATTCCCTATTAAGTTCAACAAGAAAAAAGTCCAATGTCACAGGAAAATTTAAATTACCTCTGAAGTAAACTCTGACCTTTCAAAATCTGTATAAGTTTTAACGCTTGCTCTTTTCCAACTCCTGGGACTCCCTTGCAGAAAGTGGGGGAAAAAAACTGAAATGTTAATCAGTAGGTATGATTAAAACTGTAATGCATTAATTCAATGGAAGATTGTGTAGCTGAAAGAATGAGGTAACCCTTTAAGAAATGATAGGAAAAGGTGTGCAAGATACATTGATACATGTAAAATGAATACTGCACAATAGTATAATCGAAATTTGTAAATTAAGTGACAATTACATTGTTAGTCTATATAAACAAAATCTTCAGAGTTTATTTTAGGGAAGGGAGGGATATATTTTAGAGGGATTTCACTTACTGTTAAATATTTCAGTAATATTTTAATTTGACCTAACTTTACATTATATTTGTAATCAGGCAACAGCAAGTTCACTTAATTATATGAACATTTAAATTTAAAACTTAAGACATAAGAAGAGAACAATGGAGAGTTCCAAGTTAACCCTTGAAATTAAAAACTTAAGAAAATTAAAACAAGTGTGAATTTCCAACACACACAAATTATATGCATAAATGTATATTAACATCACAATTTCTGGTTTAAATTGTAGTCAGCTCCTATAAGAGTTTATGAATATGTTCTTATAAGCAGGGCTATTTAGCTAGTATGCATTCGGATTGACACATCAATGTTAAACCCTTTTAAACTGATTAGTAAAAAGCCATTGCCCAAGTGCCTAGGGTCTCCTCAGTAAGTAGAATGCCTCCAACCCACCTATATCCAGGATCCAGTTACTAAGAAAGCTAGTCCACGGCACAGCAGCAGTCTTCCACCTCTTCAGCCTGCATCTTTGGCATACAGGTTTGGTTACAAAGAATATGAAAGTTCAAGATAGCTAAGGCCACTGCATGATATAAACACTATTGTAGCTAAAGTTGGTTTCTGTCTCAGCCTCCTGAGTAGCTGAGACTACAGGCACACACCACTGTGCCTCTATTTCATTTCATTTCTTCATTTCATTATTTCATTTCATTTCATTATTTCATTTCATTTATTTATTTATTCAGTTGGAGTTTCACTCTGTTGCCCAGACTGGAGAACAGTGGCACACTCACAGTCACCCCAGCTTCAACCTGCTGGGCTCCAGCGATCCTTCTGCTTTAGCCTTCCAAGTAGCTAGAACTACAGGTGAGCACTACTACGTCCGGCTAATTTATTTATTTACTTATTGTGGAGATAAGGTCTTGCCAAGTTGCTGGGTTGGTCTTGAACCTGCGGGCTCAGGCAATCCACTCGCCTCAGCCTCCCAAAGTGCTGGCATTACAGGCTGAGCTACCAAGCCTGGCCACTTTTCTATTTTTTGTAGAGAGAAGGCCTCACTTTGTTACCCAGGCTGATCTCAAACTCCTGAGCTCAAGTGATCCTCCTGTCTTGGCCTCCCAAAGTGCTGTGCTGGGATTACAGGTACGAGCCACGGTGCCTGGCCTAATTGTTCATCTTGAGATAGAAATTAAATGTTTTCATAACAAAATCCAATGCAATGCTGAGAGGAAGTATGAGTGGCTTACCCCAATAATCACATTGCTTAAGCAACAGTAATAATATTGAGCATGTACAGAACTGGAAAGCTACAATGAATATTGAAAACTAAAAAGTAGAGAAACAGAGTGATAGAAACTAACATTGGCATGATGTAAAAAAAAAAGAGTAATTTCTATATTTCCTTATAAAAAGTAATCAAACTTGACAGTGAAGTTCTTAATCTAGAGTACTTTTTTTTGAGATTCAAGCTGTAGTATTACTTACTTTCTATTCTCACTGATAACATTCAATGTCACAAGTCAGCTTTTTTAGTGTCATCTGAAATTCTGACTATTTTAGTCACTGAATAGTTTATTATGCCTAAAATTATATTTTTAATTACATTTTAAATGATATATCCATGTTATGTTCATATTTATTCAGCATGTAGGGTACCAAAAAGATATTATGCATAGTAAATAAATATTATGATTTCAGCTTACCTTTGGGAGATAATCACAGCCAAGAAGTATTGCTAGTCCAACCATAGCGTCTCTATCCAAACCTAGTTTATCCTTGACAGAAGACATTGTGTAACAGTCAACATGTGGATCCTAAAGAAAGTAGAGATTTAGTTTAATTTTCAAAAAGTAAATATTTATAAACAACATTACAAAAAATAATTTGTCAAATTTATCTTTAAATGTTTAATTATTCCTAAAAATTTAAAAAGAAAACTTATTCTGATTATCCTGAACAAAATCTTCACAGATACTGACATTTCAATATATGGAAACAAAGTCATAGTTTAAAAATTGACTTAAGCCGGGCTCGGTGGTTCAGCCTGTAATCCTGCGCCTTGGGAGGATGAGGTGAGTGGATTGCCTGAGCCTGCGGGTTCGAGACCCGCCTGGGCAGCTTGGTGAGACCTCATCTCTACAATAAATCAAAAAATTAGCTGGGTGTGGTAGCGTGCGCCTGTGGTTCCAGCCACTTGGAAGGCTGAGGCGGAAGGATCGCCAGAGCCCAGCAGGTCGATGCTGCGGTGGCCTGAAGTGGCCACTGCACTCCAGTCTGGGCGACAGAGTGAGATTTCAACTAAAAAAAAAAAAATTGACTTAAAAAATAAACTATAGTAGTTAATTTTTTCCATTTTATTCCTTTTTGTTGTCTAAAAAAAGTGTATTTCCATCCTACAAAGTTAAACGCCATAAAATATATATTATAGAAAATAAACATTTCCTGTAATTATATCATCTAAAGTTAACTATCATTAATAGGATGGTACAAAACATTTTCTTTGACACATATAAACTAATATTAATTTTAATATTTATTGAGTAAAAGTAGGATTACATAAAAGCACCATTTTGCAGCCGGGCTGGGTGGCTCAGTCTGTAATCCCGTGCCTTTGGGAGGCTGAGGTGAGTGGATTGCCTGAGCCCGCGGGTTCGAGACCCGCCTGGGCAGCGAGACCTCATCTCTACAATAAATCAAAAAAATCAGCTGGGCGTGGTAGCGCATGCCTGTAATTCCGGCTACTTGGGAGGTTCGCCGGAGCCCAGCAGGTCGAGGCTGCGGTGGCCGGGAGCGGCCACTGCACTCCAGTCTGGGCAACAGAGTGAGACTCCAACTCAAAAAAAAAAAACAAGCACCATTTTGCAACATTTTTCTTCACTAATATGTCTGGACATCTTTTATGTCAATAATATATATTATATAATATGGACTCTGATGCAGTGTTTCTCAATGGAGGCACACTAGTAGCATTTTGGGAGGGACAATGGAATTGTCTGGCAGGAGGTTTAGCCTGCTTGGCCCCAATCTACAAAATGTGTATAATTTTCCTTGCTCAACTCTGAATTGTTACAACCAAAATCTCCTCTGGCAATATCTCCCTGGCTGAGAATCATGACTATATTTAACCATTTCTGTATCAATGAGCAAATTTTGACTATTTGCCACATTTTGTAATTATTAATAATGCTATAATAAACATCTTTGTACATCTCGTCTTACATATTTGGAAATGTTTTTGAGGATGAAATACTGAAACTGGAAATTCTAGGTCAAAGCAATACATTTCATATGCAATTTTGTAATGTAGTATTAAAACTGATTTAGATTTAAACCATGTAAAACAAACAAGTTTTTAGGAGATAAATTCACATTTTGAAGACAATGAACTATGTGGCAATAATTTTTTAATAATAGTAAACATTTTTTTCAGCAACTGCTATGTGTCAGGCATTGCAGTAAGCATTTTACATGTACTGTTTCATTCAATTAGCCATTTAAAAAAGGAAATTTGTAAACATATTCCGAAAAAGATAAAGGAAAAGATACCTTTGTATTCATAGTGAAGTTCCTATAAACAGTCTGGGCTCCGTAAAGGAAGGCATCCCCATCATTGGTGAGGCAGCCATCAACACGACCACTAGCATTCAGGTAAGCACACATGGCTTCAGCTTCCCCAGCAGCTTGAACCCAGGGGATTCCTAAGCATTCTAGCATATCGAGGCACTGAAAACAAAAAGTAGATGCAAGAAGCTAAAGAATGTTTTTATTGCTAATTTCTTCAGTATTTAATTTACTTTTATATTATAAATATTAATAGTAGCTATTTAGGTGTTTTAAGTATATTTAAGAAAAAACACTTGGAAATTTGAATAATGAATACTTGATGGCATTAAGGAATGAGTGCTAAATGCTTAGGTGTGATAAAAATTACATTGTGGTTAGGGATACGTTTCTTTTTATTTTTTAAGATTCATCATTTAGGGAAAAGTACTGAACTATTGAGAGTGAAACAACATTATGGCTGGGATTTTGCTTCAAAGTAATGAGGGCGTAAGGAAGCAGGTAGATAAAACAAGACGAGCAGTTAGTTAGTAATTATTTAAGATTAGTGATGAGCTACTTTTGTATTGATTTAAAATTTTCTGTAATAAAAAGTTAAGATTTTTAATGTCAATTACAAAGTAATCCATATTTACTTTTCATTGTTTTGCTCCATGCTACTATCTTCAGATTTTAGAAATATCTTTAAATAATAATTCATCACATTAAGATTTACATCTGTAAGACTACCATAACTTTTCCCACGTGATGGTCAACCCAATATGAGTGCTTCCAAAGAAGATGCTATTAAACAGTTTGGGCTTGAGGCCTTAAAGTTTTCTTCTTTTTCTCATCTTGCCTTCCCTGTACAATTTAACTCTCATATTGTAGGTAACTGCATAGCGGTCAGTTATCAATGTCCTTCTAGGAAAACAAATGTCTATGCAGGATGATTATATCATTTGGCTGATGTACAAATAATCTGCTGTGAGTTCTCTTTGGGTTATGATTTTAACCCAGCTGAGAAGTTTGTAATTTAGCCTTACAGCCTAGCTCATTATTTCATGTCATATATCATTTTCTCTGTATTGAATAACACTGAGTATGGTAAGAGAAACAAAAAAGACTACTTGCAGCTTCTAGACACTGATAGAATGTCTTGTTTTGACTGATTAATCACTTGCATGCTATATTACATAATAAAAACCTCTGCCAGCTAATGCATAAGTGTGAACAAGGTTCAAAAAGACAAAAGTACCATGTTGTAAACAATTACTTTTCAAGACTCTGGCCATGTAACTTTAGGAAGACAGTTTTGTTACAGGTGTTACCTCTATCTTATCCCTAGATAAAAAGTATCTTTCTTAATAAACAGTATTTCCATTTGCTGTGCCATTTGTCATGAAAACTTTTTCAAAGAACCAGTACTAAATTTGCTATGAGCTGGTTGCAATTTTTCTTATGCTATGTCTCTATTGTGTAGGGGAAGAGATGATGTTGAGGAGGGAGTAATTTGTACTTTTCATCCTAATATCTAAAAGATGGCAGTGGATTAGGAATAGGGCCTAATGACTGTGAGTACAGAAATATGAAGATGAATAATACCTCTCTTTTCTTCTTTCTCTAATAAACCTTGCTTGAAAATTTAAAAAAAGAGAGAATGAATAATAGACAACACTGAGCTACACAAAATGCCTGAGAACACCATAATCACTGCAATAAAGACAGGAATGGATCAACATTCTTAAGAGATGGACATTTTTGTAGATATTTTCTTCAACTATTGATAATCATTAAGGTGAAATATTCACTACCTAAAAACTATTTTTAAAAATCATGTAAGGATAGAAAATAGACAGAATTTTAAAAGAGAAAAATTTAATTTCTAAGCAAAATTAAAAAGAAAAACAAGGAAATATATTCAAATATGATAAAATGTTTATACCTTAATACATTAAAAACTTGTAAGGCTGCTGATCTTTCCATAGACCAGCCCAAGCTGCTCTGCCTATGGAACAGCCTGTTCTCTCTCATTTCAATAAACTTGCTTTATTTTCCATCTGAAACCCCAGTGATGCATGTGGGCTGTTCTGTCTATGGATTCTTTAATAAACCTACTCTGTCTCTCCCCCACTCCCAAAAAGAAAAAGAAAAACAAAGTTGAACAGAAGAAATATTAAAACTTCAAAAAGTAAGTAAAGGACATGATAACCATTACCTAAAGAGGGACTAAAAATAGGTGAAATGTTTAATTCCACCATTAAAAGATCAATATATATTAAATGAAAGATCTTTATTGTTGTACACAACTGTTGTGAGAGGTGAGAGGATCCCTTAAGCCTAGGAGTTGGAGGCTGCAGTGAGCTATGATTGCCACTGCACACTCAAGCTTGGGAGACACAGGAAGACATTGTTTCTAAAAATCACGAATGACAAGAAAAAGTTTTATACACAAGAAATGTTTCTGATAATTTCATGTATAATAGAGAAAAACTAAAAAGGCAAATAATATATACAATCGGGAATAATTCATAACTTCATACATGTTGCACGATTATCACAGGTTATGATTTTGAATAGAATGTGGCAACAGGGAAATTTGGATATGATATGTTAAATGAAAAGCCCAAGTTAAAAATTATATGTACCATTGCAACTCTTTAAAAACATATACATTTGAAAAGAAATTTTAAAAGCTTAACAATTACATGTATTTTATTACAGGTGCTTTCTCTTCTTTCTTAATTTTATAAAAATATAAAATATAACAATATCAAAAGTATTCTATAAATAGTACATTGTAACACAACAATAATTAGTCTTAAAAATTAAAAGCCCTACGGGAAGCCATACTCTATATATGAGCTATCATGAATTCTGAATGAGTGAAGTATGAATTAATGAGATCTCATGTATTCTGAGAATTCTTTAAGTGATATAGATGTTATAAAAGGTAACACAATCAAGTTCCTATTAGGTAATAGCTGTTTTTGATATATTTTCTCTAATTTTTATCACATCCCTGCAGAGTATTACTATTCTTATTTTACAGGGTAAGAAATGAGGTAGAGATAGGTTCCACATCATGTCCAATGTCTCTAAGTTTCTAAATGCCAGTGCCAGGACTTGAACTCTAGCCAGTTTCACTGTAAAACATTTTCTCTATCCATATTGGCATTCTAGTCACAGTAAGGTTAATGAGTATTACAGATGACAAACTTTATTAGAGTAAAATGTACTCTTTAATTCAAATCAGAATTATTGAATCAAATCTGAATGCTCACCTCTCTTAAGACTGACTTAAAATGTGACCTCCCTGTTTTCTGAGACCATGCTTTTCCAGAAGTCCTATATCGAATCTGATTCCTCTTGCTTATGACATCAGCTTTCAGCTTTGGTGGCTCCCCTTCCATAACAAACACCAGTTTTACATCCATTTGTGTTAAATATGAGATACGAAAAAATAAGTTCCTAAAACATATAAATTAGTAGTATATTAAACATCATATATTGATAGCAAAAGTGAAAACAGCAGTATGACATAAAGGTAAGAATATTAGACTAATATCAACAATGTTATATGCGATAACATTTTATTTATAAGACTTTTAAGTAGAGTGGAAAACCGTTGAACATTTTTAAGCAAGAGAGATTTATGCTTATTCTAACTGCTATGTGGCAAATGATATGGAGGACGAGGTCAAGAGCAGAGGAAGGGAAACTAGTGAAGATGGCATTTCAGCAGTACAGATGACAGATGAGGTTGGCATAGACTAAGGTGGTACCTCTGAACTTTGAGAGAAATGTGTGAACACAAAGTATATTTTAAAAGAACTAGCAAATTTTACTGATGGAGTGGATGGAGTTGGAAAGGTAAAACGGGGAGACAATATCTCCCAAATTTCTAGTTTCTAGTAACTGAAGCATCCTAGTGCATATGTTAAGTAGGAGCTAGATATGTGAGCCTGGAGTTCAAAGGATAAGAGGTATAAATCGTGAGTCATCAGCATAAAGATGGCAGATCTAGACATGTTAAACATATTTTAAAATCTCAAATGTAAAAGAATGAAAACAAAAATAAAGAAAACACTAACACTATTTATAGAACCATACATTTATACTTTAAGAGTTTTTACTATACCTGAGGTGGGGCTTCATAACAATTCCCATCATTTTTTTGACTGTCTGTGCCTCACACACCCAGAGACTCAGATCAACTGCAATGGTTTTCCCTCCAAGATTATACAAGTGAACATGTTGCTTAACAGGCTCCAAAATTTGCCACAAGTCATTCACTCCCATTTTGGTGATTATCTGCTGTTATGTGAAACACTATTCACAAAACACTGTTAAAAGAAACAGAAGCTCAGAATGGAAATTCAAACAATATATCATGAACTAGTTTGAAACAATTGACAAATGGAGAATTCTTATTTCTTTCTTTAGTCAACTTCTCAAAAATGTATCGAGAACACCGAAACACTAAAAATGGTAGTAACTGGCTTTTTTCTAGCTAAAAACAAGGATGCAGGAAGGGTAGAAATGCAAAGAAATGCAAAGATGCTGTAAATCATTTTTGTCTTCTTGATTTATATACCTAGAGAGAGAATGGGACTAGTTTTCTATCATAACCAAGAAAAACAAAAGCAAGAAATCATGGGAAAAAGTAAATAAATGAAAGAAATCAGGGGGTTGCAGGGCACAGTGGCTCATGCCTGTAATTCCAGTACTTAGGAAAGCTGAGGTGACAGAACTGAGCCCAGAAGTTCAAGACCAGCCTGGGTAACACAGCAAGACCTCGTTTTCTACAAAAAGAAAAAATTAGCTGGGCATGGTGGCGCACATCTGTAGTCCCAGCTACTTGGGAGGCTGAGGCAGAAGGATCATCTGAGCCCAGGAGGTCAAGGTTGTGGTGAGCTGTGATTGTTCCACTGCACTCCAGCCTGGGTGACAGAGTAAGATCCCAACTCAAAAAAAAAAAGATAAAGAAGGAAGGAAGAAAGGAAAGAAGGAAGGAAAGGGGGTTAATAAAGAAAAACATTGATGGAAAATTGAGGGAAGAAGAAACAAGAGGCAGAAAATGTAGAGTTGGAGGAATATGGAATTATCTTCTTTAAAAGGCCACTGGTTTTTTAAATTGCAAGGTTATACATTGTGAAACAGACAAAAAACAATTGAAAAAATCTTACATCATCTAGTACAGTTCCACCATCCAAAGAAGACTGATGTTAAACTTTTTTCTGTGTACATAACATTTTAAAAACAAAATTGGCTTAATTTCCACTATTGTTACCTGCTTTGGTATTTTTTATAGGGAAGTTTTTCCATATTAGACATTTATATCTGTTTTTTTCTTGTATTATTTGATAAAGGTATTATGTAGCATTTTCAATGCAGATTCAGTCTGACTATATAAATACAACCCAGAGTATTATTCTCTGAATAATGACTTTTATTTAGTCCAAAAGCACAAGGTAGAAGACAAAAATATATTAAGTCAAAAGTTATTACCTTTATGTAGACACCTTTTGAATAAAAAGTACTGTATTGGGCAACCCCCTCGGATCCCCTCCCATTGTGGGAGCTTTTCTGTTCTCTCAATAAATCCTGCTTTCTATAAAAAAAAAAAAAATGTACTGTACTGTCTGTTCTTTCTAAAAGTAAATTTCCTTGAAATGCAGATGGGTGCAAAGAAGATAAATGCTGTAAGTTTTGCTTTTTCTCTGTTTTTCTGAATCTTAATTTTACAATGTGGCTAGTGCCAGCCACTATGTGCACTCATTTCATAAAGTACAAAAATATTCACAGATGTCACTTTAAAAAAAAAACAAACAGATTTAAACACAAAGAAGAAAGCCTCTGATAGTTAATGGTAGCCCAGAGCTAATATCGTCTATTTCACATCATGAAGTCCACAGGTTGAATGTAGCATTGTGGCATAGACTCGGAATTAATTCACAAAGAGTGGGGACATATTCTCTAAGGCATTAAAGAAGGGAGAATTTTTTTATAGGATTAACCATCAGAACAAATAAAACTCCAGAAACACTGGTTGAGAGGAAAGTTCTTGATAGTTTTGCTTTCCTTTTATGACTCACGTTGGTTACTGGAATAGATTGCTATTGAAATAGATTATGCAATTCCTCTCTCTGGAGAAACATTTTTGTTATCATGTGACCCCGACTCTAGCATTTACATGTGACCCTGATCCTAGTGGTCAAAATTTCAAACGCAGATTACTGTCTGGTTTCGCAATAACTCTTATAAAAAGTTAAAGATATGCTACTAAGTGAGCACAGTTTTATATATAGCAGTATTCACTGTAGTATTGTTTATAAGATACTGACAAGAATCAAGTCTCAATCAATAGAGGACTACTTAAGGAAATGATGGCATGTTCAAACAATGGATTAGATGATACAGCAAATGAAACAACAGGAGAGAATTACCTATACTGATAAAAACCGGTTTTAAAATGAAGATAGTATGAAACGGGTTATGTATTAGGGTCAACAGCAGTTCAGGGATGGCAAGAATGACTCTTCAAAATATAGCCCTTTGAGCTGTTTCATTTTTAAAATATCACACACATACATTTATTTTCAAATTAAAAAGAAAGAGTTTAAGAAATGTGGCCCTAACTGTAAGGAGTTGGAAAAATAAAATTGAAACATTTTAGATGGTTTGTTTCTTGCTTAAACTGTGACAAATCTGTAAATAATTCATGAGTCAAATAAAAAAGCAATGTCTTGCTAATTTACAGTTCCCTTAATGTTAAATATTACTTCAGCATAGCTTTTTGAGGGAAGAGAAATTCACATTTTCTGGTTTCCTTCAGATTGCCTAGAAACTAGTCATTGGGAAGTGGGCAGGGCACATCTTTTCTCTGAACCTTCCAGTTCAATCATTCCTACTGTTTCTAATGTTTAATTACATAAGTTAACTACACATATGTAAATGAACGCCACCTACCGCAGTGTCGTTTTTGATGGCATACATTAACACATTTATATATATATATGTATATATGTATATATACATACATAGGACTGTGATGTAAATTGTATTTCTTCTGAGGCTTAGGGTATAAACAAAAAACAAACAAACAAACAAAAATCAGGGAAATACTAATGAGGTAGCTTCTTGATTTTACAAACTGTAGTCAGGGGTCTTTAACTTCCAGACCAGCGGACTGGTACGACTCCATGGTCTGTCAGGTACCCGGCTGTACAGCGGAGTTCTTGCTTCCTGTCAGATCAATGGCAGCATTCATCCCCTAGGAGCACGAATCCTACTGTGAACTGCACATCTAAGTTGCGTGATACTTATGAGAATCTAATGCGCGATAATCCCCCCTCACCTCCCATCCCCGTCGACGGAAAAATTGTATTTCACGAAATACGTCTCTGATGCCAAAAACATTGGGGAATCGCTGCTCTAAGTATTTCAATATTAGGATCATTCTGTAGAGCCTAATGGAATGTATTATACACTAAGGGGCCACCGTGTCTAAAAAAATGAGTCCAAAACTGTTTCTATTAAGGATCTCTTAAGCAAAAGAATTTCTAACGAAATCCACAAATAATATATTTAACATAACATGATTATTACAGTTGAAACAATTTTTCACATTAGTTTCTTCTGTCATAACTAAACCTGGTTTAAAGAGTGACTAACAGTGGTTATGTTATAAAACAGCTACCAATGGTAGTTATTATTATTATTATTTGAGTTGGAGTCTCACTCCGTCGACCAGGCTGGAGAGCAGTAGCACACTCATGGCCACCCCAGCTTCGACTTGCTGGGCTCCAGATCCTTCTGCCTCAGCCTTCCAAGTAGCCGGAACTACAGGTGCGCTACCACTCCAGGCTAATTTCTTTTTCTTTTTTTAATTTATTATAGAGAGGAGGTCTTATCAAGTTGCCCGGGCTGGTCTCGAACCCGTGGGCTCAGGCAATCCACTCGCCTCAGCTTCCCAAAGTGCTGGGATTACAGGCTGAGCCAAGGAGCCATGGTAGTTAAACATTGTTTAACTAGGTCTACCCAGTACATCTATTTTGGCTATGCTTTTAAAATGTTGAGCAACGACTACACAGCTTTAATAATGCCTACTTAAACACAACTAGTATCAATACCACAGGCCAAAAAAAAAAAGTCTGTAAAAAATTTCTGTTGGTTTCCAGAAAATAAAACTTGAGTTACTACTTAAAAAAATTCTGTTGGTTTCCCGAAAATAAAACTTGAGTTACTACTTCTGTGCTAAAGTGTTCTCTTCTTCACTTTGCCTTAGTTATGTGACATTTTAGTTGCCAATCCTTCTGGTTACCATATTCTTTAGTCTATCTCAAAGCCTTTTAAACCACTTTGGCATCTTAACCTACACTCCCCATATAACTATTGAAACTAATTTGGAAAAAAATTAGTCTCTCTTTTGTTCCCCAAGCGTACTTCTACAAAACAGTAATGCTCTGCTAAGTGCTATCATGACATAAGATTATTTTCCATTTTTTTCTTTGAATGATAGGAATAAAAGAGACATTTTTATAAGTGACCCTCTTTATGACACACCCCAATGGATACTTTGTCCTTCTTAGTAACTTATTGTTAATAAACTTCTATTAGACCTTCTTGAATTACTACTGCAAATCTTTATACAGCCTTCACTATTTTAACTAAAAAATAATAGTTTAAGATTATGCCAAGCAACAATATTTTAAAAATTGAGGGTAGGCATGGAAATTAGAATTTTGCTTCACTCTCCTGTCCTTCTTTAATATTATTTACCCCATATCACCTGACAGCTCCCTGAGCTCTTGTCTAGAATATCTAATTGCCAGGTTGTTATCTTCACAAGGATGCATAATAGATGCACCTAACTCTTGATTCTACCCCTAGTTTTTCCCAAATACCCAGTTACTCAGGCCAAAAACCTAGCAGTCATTCTTGAGTCTTTACTTTGTTCCCCAACAGGAAACTGATCATCAATCCCTCTATCTCCAAAATATACCCTAGATTCCCATTTCTAATGATACTCTGAGTATTGCTTGTATATAACTGTAACAGTCTCCTAACTGGCCTCCTTTCACTTTTTACCACTCCCCTCCACACACACATAATCATTCTTCCCACACAAATCAGAGTGATCTTGTCTAAAAACCTAAAATCTTCATCATTCTTGCAATGGACAGTAAATTTCCTTACAGATGACACAACTTTTTTTTGTCACAAGTTGATTTTCTTCATTTATGATGTTATTTTACAGTTATAAAATGTAAAAAATGATAATAAAAAAATTATGTGTCCTAAATGTAATACACTCTTTTAAAATACTTTAGGATTCTCTTCAACAGAAGTACAATCTAAGTTTAAAAATACATGCTCTCTCTGAAGAACACTTATAAAATCATAATATTTACACGGAAAGATAGAACAAATGGTTCTTGCATGAGATCATAATTAACTTATGAGGTTACTTGAAAATAGCTCAGCATTGGGCAAACTCTTTGGGTCCCCTCCCACTGTGGGAGCTTTTCTGACTTCTTAATAAATCCTGCTTTCTAAAAAAGAAAGAAAGAAAGAAAGAAAGAAAGAAAACAGCTCAGTATTAACTAAAATTTAAAATTACTACACCAAAACCTATGTATAATTTTGCCTTGGTTTGCATTTTTTTAATATAGTAAAATTTGAAATTTTTGTGATGTGGGATTTGGTGAGTCCCAACTCAAGTCTTTTATAATGTAATAATGTTATTGATGTCATTCTGGCCATACAATCAATATATATTACATATAAAAAGATGAGTCTCTCAACATCTTCACAAGTCTTAACAATTAGTTGTGACACAAGTATACTTATGTGAATCAATGATGTCAGAACAATACACAGCAAATAACTTTATGTCTATTAATCGTTTTAATTTATTTAGGTAACTTATATGAATCAACAAAGTAGAATATAGCAAACAACTTTATAAGCACTGCATGTGGGATAGAAAGCCTAGAATTTTGGTCTTGGATATACTACTCATTACCTGCATGACCTTGGGAAGACATTTAACCTTTCTACAAAATAAAAGAGATTAAACCAGATGAATTACTATGTTTGAATTCCTTTGCATCTCAAGATCAATTTTAGTAGCTTGGAATTAAAAAAAAAAATCCACTTCATTTCAGAAATTATTGCTTGGCAGGAAGAACATAAACTTCTAACTTAAAAAAAGGGCTTAAGAATCCACTTCCAGTTAAAACAAAAACAATTCCTTTGATGTAACCATATGGTGCTCATAAATCAAATTTATGCTCCTAAAACTTCCTTAAAAGCTAATAAGCTTTTATTGGTTAATTATAAAACTGAATGAGGTGAGAAAAACACAGAACCCTGTTAATTCCACTAATGTATCAAATTTTAAACATAAAGTCAGTAGCTTAATTTATACAAAAATACAAATCTTATTAAATCAAGTTTTCCAATTTATTTCCGCTTCAAGCAAAAATATTAGAAAATTTATCTAAAAATAAAGCAAAAAATACTTAATTTCCCATTCCCACTTTTATGAGTCTATAGTCATATAAAGATTGGAAGGTGGTACAAAGTTTTATTTCAGTACAAGATTGTACTGTATGGGATTTACCACATAATTCCACTAATTACTGCTTTTTCAGTTTTATTTTCAAAATAAACTTAGCCTAATTGTTGAGGCATAATATAACCCAGGTTTAACTTATCAATAAATATTTATTAAGTATCTATTATTTACCAGGGATGCTTCCAGGTGCTAGAGATACAATAATGGAAGATCAAACTCTGCATTTAGAAATCTTAGTAGGGTGAGACTGCAGATAAAAAGGACATTATAACAATGTGACCCGTGCAGGCACAGAGAGCAAGTTACAGTAGTATATAAAAAAGGTGTCCCACCTAGTCTAGGGCACCAAAAAAGCCTTCCTGAAGGAAGTGACATCTGTGTAGGAAACACCCAACTGTGCTTCCCATTGGTACCAACAGACTACCTGGGCCAGATGTTTTAGGCTACTTTGACTATGCCATACTTTTCATTGATCCATGGCAAGGGCCACAATAGGAATATATTTGTTTACTTTAAAAAAGTGATTTTGATGGAAGGAATTCCATAACTGGAGTACAGAGGTTTAACATCAATTTATTTGGGAGTTGAGTGAGATGGTGGTAAATGCCATTTTTCTCCCCACTGAGATTTTTGGAGTATGGAAAGTAGGTTACTTAGCTAGATCAGCACAAAGGTTGAGCAAATTCCGAAGGGGTAGTGTGGGGTTAGAAGGGCACCGAAAGCTAAGCCAAGGGAAGTCAAACCTCATTAGTTCTGATATTTATTTAGGGGGTTGACTACACTCTAGGCTAGCGCGAGGGAAAGACTGTACATAAGCTACAATGTTCTAAGGTAACTGTAATAGAACTATTTCCAAACCACAACATTAACACGGAAAGCACCCAAATGAGAGATCGCCCGGATGGCCATGATCGAGGCATGACAGTTATCCCCACCCTGTGCCCTGGGAAAGGACGATCGGACCCAGCGGCCTTGGCGGAGCACAGACGGTCGGGGAACACGCGGGCCTCCCAAGCAGGGCTAACCTGAAGAGCCGGCGCGGGACAGCAGGCACCGGAAGCAGGAGCCGCTTAGCTACCCGACGGCTTGGTTCGGGCTTCCTACCTTATTCAAAAAAGCCACAGAAGGTGTTTTCGGAGGAGCGGCGAACACAGAGCTCGCCCCTAACTCAGACTGTCAGAGGAACCAGTGGAAGGACTGGAGAGCTGCCTTCTCTCCACCGCCCCCCTGGGACTTACCCGGTCAACCCCTCCTAGCAAGCACTTCGAATTCGGCGCCTTCGCCCACGCGACCCCGCCTCTTCCGGGAAATAACTCTCCCCCTTCCCCTACCCGGGCAGTACAGTAGGCTTTCCCTTCCCGGCCGCCAGACGGCCCGGTGGACGCATGCGTCGACCTGTTGCCGGGGGCGCCCAGTTATCTTCCCTTTTCACTTAGGCAAATCACCTGCCTCCCCCGCGGTCTGCCGTCGCCGATCTGCGCGTGCCTACCAGCTTCCCTCGCCCGCCCAGGGGCACTTCCGGGATATTCTCGGAGACAAGCGGCGCAAGACACCTGAACTGCGCAGGCGCGGGCGGAGTCCCGGGTGGGGCGGGGGGCGGGGGGGCGCAGGCGCGGACCGTCCCGCGGTGAGCGCCCGGGCGGCGGGGCTCCTGCGGTCTCTGGCTGCAGGCGTGCGGTTCTCGGCGGGCCAACGGTAGTTGACCGAGGCCGAGACACCCTCAGGGTGGTCTTGACGTCCGGTCGCACCACGACAGCGCCGCCGATCGGGTTCCTTAGGAAGATCTGGATTTGTTGGCGGTAGGGTGAAGGCGCACGCTGTCGCTTTTCCTTGCCCCGAGGGTTCATTCCCCCTACTCCCGCTGCCTGCGCCCCCCAGCCCACCTGGGAGCGACAAAGTCAGCAGAGCTGCGGCGGTGTCCGGGGTTGGCCCCGCTGGCCGGGACGAGAGACTTGGTCCCTCAGGCAGGCCGGGCGGCCGGCGGGATCTTCGCGCGCACTCCGCTGGCGGCACCGGTCTCCCCAGCCGCGGGAAACTTGGCAGCCCGAGCGGGCCCCTCCCTCCCGGGCGCCAGTCCTCAGGCGGCCCTGGGGCTTTGGCGAGTAGGTGGGTGAGGGGCGAGTAGAGAGGTCTGGGGTGAAGCTGGGGTCGGGAAGTGGCTCTTGTCACGAATCTGATGATTCCTCAGGCGGCAACTTAAGTGTGTTTAAAGGGATATGCAAGGGTCATCCAAATTGGATTTGTCGTTAAATCCTAGTCTCATGAAAACGCAAACTGTATTATACAGAAAAATTAAATTGTGATGTTTGAAGGTTTTTTTTTTTAAATGGCATTTTTTCCCCCCAAATGTCTTATGGAAATGAGCTGGAGAAGAATCCCAATTGGGAATTGTAGAAAACAGGACTCCAGGGCAAAGATAGGGCTGTTGGACCAATAGGACTTAGGGTAATACTGGGTATTTTTTTTAGAAAGAGCGACTATTTGGTATTTAAACCCTGAAGACAGAAGTTAAATGAGCTCATTATTGTCTACATATTTAATGAATAGGAGATTAAAAGCTGGCGTTTTAAAGAAGACAAGGTACTCCGTAGTGTATATTCAGAGGGGAAAAAAAAGTCCAGATTCCTGTATAGATGGCTGCTGTGTAGTCTTTGAAAATGTGCAACAGCATATGTAATGGCTTGTAGTTCCATAGGTGTGTGGATGGGGAGGGAGCATATTAGAATTTGTGCTTAGATTTACTTTAGCTCATTCTATTACTGTGTGAAGTATACAGAGTATGTTATGTTGGCATGTGTATTTCTTTTCTTTAATGGATGCAAGTACAGAAAAGTTTGAAGACCACTGGTGTATTGCTTAAAAACATGTATTTGTATCAGAAAGACCCAGAGTTGTGTGACCCTGAGTAGGTTGGTACCATCTTTGTAAGTTTCAGTTCTGTAAATCAAAGGAAATAACACAGCACCAGTCACCCCTTAAATTGGTGGGTTCTGCATCTATCTGTAGATTCAGCCAAGGGATGGAAAATAGTCTAGAGAAAAAAAATAGATGGTTGCACAGACTTTTTTTTCTTGTTATTATTCCCTAAAGAATATGATATAACAACTATTTACATAGCATTTACATTGATTAGGTATGACAAATAATCTAGAAATGACTTAAAGTATACGGTGAGGTTGTGTATAGGTTTTATGTAAACACTACACCATTTTATATAAGGACTTGAAAATCTGTGGATTTTGATGTTCTTGTTGTGGGGTATCATACTGGAATCAGTCCTCCATGGATACTGAGGAATCACTGTATCTAACTTGCAAGATTACTAAATATTTGGAGACAGAGACGGGGAGGAAAAAAAGTTATATAGCTGTATAACTATATTTGTCTATCTACAGTCAATATAAAACATTTAGTATTGAGTCTGGCAAAAAATACAAATGGCATGTTAAGTTTTTACAGTGAAAAACAAGTTTTATTTTACTGTGTGTATTTTACTGAGTACCTAGTTTGTATAATTTTATATAAAACCTGCCTAAATCTTGACTCCACTCATTTTTAGACCAAAGTTAGAAAAATTATTTAAAGCTATACTTGGCTTACTTTGAGGAATTAATAACTCAAAATTTAGCCATAATATTATGCGTTATATTTAAGACATAATTAAATGCCACAGTTATCTATATACACAAACCTGAAAGTCCAGCTAACTGAGGGTCAAGTGTAGACACTTTGTATTAATGTCAGCATTTTTAATTTCCTGGTTAAATAAGTTACATCTTTTCTCGGTGTGCTTTCCTTGGTCACCAAATTCAAAGCTCCACTCCCAAGTCCTCCTCTACTGTAGATTATGTTTTACTACCTACTGGCCTCTATTTCAATATCCCAGGAGCACTTCAAACTTGGTGCTTTCACACAAAATAAATTTTATTAATTATCCTCCCTCATCAAACCTGCTCTATCTGCTTATAGTGACATTAACATTGTGTGAAGATGATGAAACTCTGTCTCCAAATATTTATGAAGCAAGCCCAAAGATTTTTTTTGTTTGTTTTTTTGAGTTGGATTCTTACTCTGTCGTCCAGACTGGAGTGCAGTGTGGCACGCTGGTGGCCACCGCAGCCTCGACCTGCTGGACTCTGGCGATCCTTCCTCCTCAGCCTTCCAAGTAGCTGAAACTACAGGCGTGCACTCCCATGCCCAGCTTATTTTTTTATTTATTGTAGAGATGAGGTCTCACCAAGTTGCCCTGGCTTGTCTCGAACCCCCGAGCTCAGACAATCTTCTCGCCTTGGCCTCCCAAAGTACTGGGATTGCAGCCTGAGCCACCGTGCCTGGCCCTTGTGTTGTTTTTTAACCAGGGTTTTGCTGTTACCCAGTCTGGAAGACAGGGACACTATCATTGCTCACTGCAGCCTCAAACTCCTGGGCTCTAAGGATCCTCCTGCCTCAGCCTGTTGAATAGGTGGGACTACAGGCAAGCACCACTATGCCCTCCCAATTTTTCTTTCTTTTTTTTTTTTGGTAGAGATGGGTCTGTATTTGTTGTGGAGACTGATCTTGATCCTGGCCTCAAGCGATCCTCCTGTCTCTGCCTGGCAAAGTGCAGGGATTACAGGCATGAGTTCAGCTCCAAAGTTCTGATTGACTTTAATAGACATTAGAGGGACATATGGTAATAGAGTTTTTTTTTTTTTTTTTTTTTGTAGTTTTAATGAAGGATAGACAAGAAGATGAAGAACAGAATAATAGTTTCACTGCTTATGGTTAATTAAATTGTTAAACTCAGTTGTTTATGCCTGTAGGCACCTGGGTGTTAAAGTGGTTTGAATTGGGTTTTGAATACCTGGATTTGGATCTGTGCTCTGCTAAGTTCTCACTATATAAGCCTTTATTAGTTAGAGCTAAGTTGTAGTCATGTAAGTTCTTGTTCACTTGAGCCTCAGTTTCCCCTTTTGTAAAACAAAGCCAATATTTATCTCAAAAAGGAATGTGGAAAATCAAAGGAAATAAAGTATTCATTTCAAAACCTAAGTGCATAGTTATTCAGCACGTTAATTCTACTAATCTATTTCAATATTTTAGTTTCATCTTTCTCCTTCATTCCTGATATTACCACAGCTTTTGTTCCAACCCTCATCTTTTAGAAACTGATCTCTTCTGCTCTGTTTCTTCCATCCTCTATATTCAGGCTACAGAGATGTTTTCAAAACACAAATCCAAGTGTTAAAATGTTATCTGAAATGCTGTGTTTCATGCTTCCCAAGTTTTGCTGATTCTGAAATTTGTTGCTGGATTTAGGAATTTTTTTACTTAAGTATTTCTTTATTATCTAGTGAGTTTCATATGAGTTTATGATCTATTTCAAGCAGTGTACCTAATTCAGTACATTAAAAATTAGGTTATTTACTGTATGATGAGTGTCTGTTGTGGTGGGAAGAGTGGAATTGGGAATGAGGTAAACCATAGTCCCGGGCAGATGCAGAAGTTGCTATAATTTGCTTTTTGTAAAAAATAAAAACACTATTTTCTATTGATAATTCTAATTCTGTTATGTTCTTTATGACTCTTAGCCCCAAGGTTGATAATAATGGGAAATATGAATTATTGGATGCTTTTTAAAATTTAAAATGTCTTTGCTCTCTAGCAAATTTCCTATGCATCTCCATGGCCTTGATGAACTCTTGGTTATTGGTTTTTCTTCGTGAACTTACTGTTTTATTGATGATCTTCATTGTTCCTGCTTCTCCCTTACAAGGAAGAAATTATATGTTCCCTAATTCTGATTTTTAAAAATTATAAATAAATAAGTAAATATTGAAAACTACAAAGAGTTTTATGAATATGTTGAAAATCTCAGAGCAACTTTTTTTCTTCCTTTGTGTATTCCATAATGTTTATAGTATTTTTCTTTGCATCTGTAAATATGTCTCTTTAACCTGTTGGAAACAATTTTACTATTTTAATCAGTTTTTGAGTCTCTGGACAGTCATATCTGTTTTTGAAAATCATCATCACTAAATTACAAAATGATTCCTATATTAAAAGGTAGGATCCTTCAGTGTTTGTAAGATGCCAGTTACCTTGGCAACCTTAAAAAACTGAAAATCCCAGGTCATGTTCAGCAAATAAAAAACATCATCATCATGTGGTGTTCAGTTGTACTATCTTCTGTGTAGTATTGACTCTAACATTCATTGTGAGAAGCACATCACATTTTTCCTAGTGCATATGGGTCAACTGTTGTCTGAGTGCCTGCTCACTGCAAGATCATGTATTAGGCATTAGTAAAAATACTGGCTAAAAAGGCATTCACTTTTTGGTTGAGAAAACCAAAAACTAATGCCTTCTTTTTGCTTTTTGTACTAAAAACATTAGTGCTCAATAATTGAGAAGGAGATAGAAGATGGGTGGGAGAGAAGAAAGTGTTGAAAATTTAGGGGTCTGGTAGTATCTTAGGGTACTTAAGTTAACAAAAAGCTGAAACTGATATACGTTGATTCTTGTTATGAAATAATTTGAAAAATATATTTGATTTTGAAGTTTTGACATCTATAAGAGATTCAAAATAAACATTAGATTATTTGTAAAAACGATGAATATTATGTAGTTGTGACTGTACTGGAAAAATATTCTCTCAAAAGTTACTTGTTTAAGTTAAATGTCCTTCTTTGAATGTTAATTCAAATTCTTCTAAAAATAGTATATGATTTATCATAATATATTAAGTTCTTTATTGCCTTCAGAATAGGATAAAGTCCCAGTTCTATTATTTAGTTTACTGCTGTTCTTGTGCTTTAATGTACTTATGAATCACCTGAAGTCTTGTTCAAGTGAAGATTCTGATTTATTTAACCTAGGATGGGAGTTGAGGTTCTGTATGTCTAAGCTTCCAGAAGTGTGGATGCTGGTCCTTGGGTCACACTTTTACCATATGGAGTCTTCAAGTCCTTCTGTGGTTTGTTTCTTCCCCACTGCTCTAACTATTGCTCGCTAGCTATGCCTTATAATTTATTGCATTGAATTATGGACTTGTTTATAATATCCCCTGTAGCAGCAGTTAGCAAAGTGTGGTTCAGGGATCTGTGACACTCTTGGAGGGGATGTACAGGGTCAAAATTGTTTTCATAATTATTGCCTTTTTCACTCTCTTTCACTTACGAGTGTACAGTGGAGTTTTTGAGACGTTACATGACATGTAACGATGTCATTGTTCTGATCAATGGAGTGTGTACTTGTGTTTTCTTTATTTTAAAATTTTCTGTTTTATTTTCTAATGTAAATATTGATAGATATAAGCAAAAGCTCTTAGTGCTTTTTAAGAAATCCCAGTCTTTGAGAACTACTCCCCGACATATTGGACCATGGAAATGGAGACTCAGATCTAGAGCTATTTCCTTAGCAGTAGTGACCACTGGGCGGGGGTAGCAGTTTCAATTCCTCATATGGTCTCCAGTGACACTGCAGTGGAAGTGGTTTTCTCATCTCTGGGTGGTGGTAAAAGTCCAAACTTTCTACTAGGTCTCCTTTGAAGGGGAGTAAGTAGTACCCTATTACTGCCTAGGTAGAATTCTAGGCTCTCTAGGTGATCTCCAATGACACCATTACCATGGCTCCCTACTTAGCCTACTTAGTCTTCTCTAATACTACCCCAGTTGGGTTGTTGAGATGGCCACCTTATAGCCTCACCAGGCCAAGTCTGGGCTACTTACTTGGCTTTTGTTTGAAGAGGAGCCACAGTTTTTTCAGTGGTGTTTGTCTGGAATAGAGCAGTTATTGTCTAAGAGTTTTCTGTCTGATTAGGTTGTTCTTTGGCTAGGGAGAACATGCTTTCCTTGGGGCTTTTCTTTTTTTCCCTGCACCTTTTGATATTTCCCACTTGCTTGCTTCTCCAATTCTGGGATATTTGAGGCAAAAGGAAAACTCAAGGAACTTTCCACTGTGTCTTTTTTAGGTGCAAAGGTACTTAAAATTATCTGCCCTGTTTTCATATTACTGTTTCGGTATCTTTTTTTATGTTTGTTTTATATATAATGTCCAAGGATTTTAGTTTCACTTAGTGGAGGGAATAGGAAAAAGTATATCTATTTCATCGTCCTGGAAGCAGAAGCCTGCTTTGTTAACTTGTGTTTTGGGAGAAGAAATTAGGGACTGAATTCTATATCTCTTAGGTTGGTTGTATAAAAAAAATGTGAGTAAACGTTAAAATAGTCTAATTAAAGAAAAACTAGATTTGATGATGCAAATAACCGGTTTGGAGAGAATGTCTAAAATAGCTTTCGAACTTAATAAAATGGAATTTGTATGAAGTCATGACTACTGATGAAGATTTTACAACCATAAGATAATTTTGTGTAGTAAATCTGATGCTTTAAATTATCAATGTTAAATTACAAAAAAGTTATTCAGGAAGATATAGTAAACCTGTAAAATCAAGCATACATGAAAGAAATTGAAATAATTTCATAACATTAACGAAAACAGTGTCCATTCTCTAAAAGATTTAAGCATAGTTCTTTCTTACTTTCAAAAAACATTTAATTGTCATGACATCAAAGTGATTTTAGAGCATTAAAAAGATGGACTAACTCCCCAGTTCACTTAATGAAGCATGCATTGTCAAAATACCAAAACTTGACAATAATAGTTCCCAAAACATGTGTAGTATCTCCAAAATATGTATAGATAAATATGTGATATCTGCACAAAATTGTTTTTGTCAGTGTAAGTTTGGGAAGCAGCGGCTTAAAAACTTATACCCTGTATGCAAATGTCTCTCTTGCTTTCCTTTTTTCTTGAATTCTTTTTCTAGAATCCCTGTTCTGTTTTTGCACATCTACTTTATGTTCTTTTTGTAACATCATTCTAGTAGCTCCCTACCCTCCCAACATGCACTTACACTTAAAACTGAGTTGCTTAGCCAGTGGGCTTGTCGTCATAGAAAGCTACCATGTCTGTTAGTGAGAACTGACTGGAATCTTTCAGTCCAAATCATGAAAGGAAATCTCATTCAAACTAATGTTGTTATGGGGGAGAAGGGACCAGGAACATGGTATAGATATGGTTGCTATGGTCTAATATTTGGGGAATTTTAGTGCACTGAGCCTAGAATTATTCTTATATTCTTTATTTGTATCATAGAAATTTTTGATTTTGTATGTTAGGTATTTTTGTCTCCATTTATTTAGCAAACTATTATTAGGTACTTATTATTTTAGGTCTTAAATGTATTCTAAAGAAAAAAAGCAACAAAGTAAGTCATAAAGTTTAATTTCAATCACAGATTATCAGCTTTGACCAGAGGTTCAGTATTCATATGTTTAGCAAAACCATGTATAATTTTAAATATGTTTATTTTCTGAGTTTAAATTTTATAGTATATTGGCAAAAATAGACACTCAACAGGGCTTTTTTCTTTTTCTTTTTTTAGAAAATTAGAACAGTTAAGGGGAACTGATGGTGCTAGGCAACAGTGCTTCAAAATATGCTTCTTTTGGCAAATAATTTAAAAATTAAAAGTTTTATCTGATTATAACTTGTAAAAGTTGAATGATTGCTCTGAGATAATTTCAGGAGGAATTATACTATCTCTATTAATAGATTTAGGAAACTAGAAACCATGGTTTTGCAAATAAAATCTTTTAATTTTACAGTGTAGGAGTCGTAACATTTAGGTAGGCTTATATTGAAAAACTCTCAGTCATGAATAACTGAAGTAAAATCAAGTAGTGTAGAGAATGCAGGTTTTTTTTAAACAACACAAATTTATTATCTTACACTTCAGTAGATTAGAAGTCTGACACAGGTCTCACTGGGCCAAAATTCAAGCATCAGTTGGGTTGAGTTTCTGGAGGCTCTAGGGGAAAATCTGTTTCCTTGCCTTTTCCGGCATTCTTTGACTCATGGCCTTCTTCCTCCATGCAGGATGGAAGACTAATTTACTTTAATTTTTAAAGCAAAAATGGATGGATATATTACTTAAAATGTAATACAATCTGTGTGATTTTTTTAATGTATGTGGGTCAACCATATGGATGCTATACTTGACTTACCTTACTGTTACTATAAATATTTGTTCAGACCTGATGGCCAAAAGAAAGGAAGAAAATTTTTTCTCTCTTGAAAATGCCAAAAGACCAAGACAAGGAGAACTGGAGGATCTTGATAAAGATGGTGATGATGATGAATGTGCAGTTTCTTTCACTAATGGTACTTGTACTTTGGTAAGTGCAGACTTACAAAATTATGCTTTTCGTTGGCATGTTTCTCATGTCTGGTTTATATGTCGTATTGTGTGATAATTCAAAATCAGGAATAAGCAGTATGATTTTTATTTTTATTTTAAATTTTTTATTTTCAAGATGTAGGGTACAATTCAAGGTTAAGTATACAAATGTTCATTATGCAGGTACCTTTGTTAATGAGGTTCCCCCTCCCCCCCTCAACCCAGCAGAATACCACTACTGCTAATCCCGTTCCACCCCCCAGCAATTTCCCACTACTGATAATCCTTTTCTTATAATAGCAATATGATTTTTAAAAAGTTGAGTTAAGTAACCTGTTCTGGCTATTGTGAAGCTTACATTGGTTATTAGAAAAAGTAATAGAGAAAATGATGAAACAAAAACTGAGTCTTTGGAAAGATGAATAAAATTGACAAATCTCTAGTAAGATTAACAAAGAAAATAAAGAAAAATCACAAACTGCCAATGTCAGGAATGAAATAGGGACTATCCACAGACCCTGCAGACATTAAAGAGGTAAGGAAATATAGCTAACAATTGTACACATGTGAATTTGACATTAAGTAAAGTTGACCAATTTCTCAAAAAGCAAAAATTACTATAAATCACTCAGTATGAAATAGATAATTCAAATAGTCCTATAACTATTAAGGAAATTTAATTCATATTTTAAAACTCCTGAAAAAGAAATCTCCAGGCTCAATTGGTTTCACTGGAGAATTTACCAAACTTTTAAAGGAGAATTAATAAGAATTCTATATAATCTTTTCCAGAAAAGAGAAGAGGAGGGAACATTTTTCAATTTATTATCTTGGTACCAAAGCCAGACAAAGGGAGACCAACAAAGCAAACTACATATCAATATATCTTATAGATATTGATGTAGAAATACTAACAAAATATTAGCAAGTAGAATTCTCCAATATAGGTGTTGTTTGGTATCCAAGCGGGATTGGTTTCGGAACCCCCTTAGACCAAAATCTGCTGATGCTCAAGTCTCTTGCAATTGGCTCTTCATATCTGTATCTGTAGAACCTGCAGATATGGAGGGCCAACTGTATATAAAAAGAATTATGATCAATGGGTTTATTCTAGGTATGCAAGTCTGATTATCTGGAAATCAATCATTGTAATTCATATTACAGACTAAAGAAAAAAATGCACATGAATATATTACTCAATGCAGCAAAAGTCTTTGACCTAATTCAATACCTGTTTGTGATTAAAACTCTCAGAAAAATAGGTATATGGTGGAACTTCTTCAAGATGATAAGGAACATTGGCAGAGAAACCTACAGCTAACATTATACCTACTGGTGAAATATTGAATGTTTTCCCCATAAGATCAGAAACAAGGCACAAGGGTGTCTGCTTCTCAAATCCTTATTCAACATAGTGTTAGGAGATCTAGCCAGTGTAACTAAAGCGGGAGAAGAAAATAGAAGGTATAGAGATTGGGAAGGAAAAAAGTAAAACTGTTCCTGTTTGCAGATGAGCTTATTATCTACATAGAAAATTTCAAAGAATCTACAAAAAATTCAAAACTAATAAATGCATTCAGCAAGGTTATTGGATACAAGATATTTTTAAAATATTGTATTTTTATATATTGGCATTGAACACATGGACATTGAACTTCAAAATTCAATACCATTCACTCAAAAAAATTAAATACTTCAGGGAATGCAAATTAACAACATTGAGATACCATTATACACCTGTTGGAATGGTGAAAATCTAGACCACTGACAATAACAAGTGCTGGCAAAGATAACGAGCGGTAGAAACTCTCATTCATTGCTAATGGGAATGCAAAATAATACAGCTACTTTGGAAGATACTTTGGCAGTTTCTTACAAAGTTCAGTTTCAACTCCATAAGTTAGAAACTTATGTCCATAGAAAAACCTGCACACAGATATTTATAGCAGCTTTATTCACAGTTGCCAACACTTGGAAGCAACCATTATGTCCTTCAGTAGATGAATGGATACATAAACTGTGGTATATCCAGACAATGAAATATTACTCAGCCCTAAAAACAAATGAGCTAGCAAGCCTTGAAAAGATATGGAGGAATCTTAAATGTATATTACTGAGTGACAGAAGTCAATCTAAAAAGGCAGTAAATATACTGTGTGATTCCAACTATATGACAATCTGAAAAAGGAAAAACTGGAGACAGTTAAAAAATTGGTAGTTGCTAGAGGTTGAGGGAAGGGAGGGATGAATAAGCAGAACATGGAATTTTTAGGGCAGTGAAATATTCTGTATAACACTAATGGTGTCAGTGTAGATTCATCAAGTGTAACAAATGTACCAGTATGTTGAGGGATGTTGATAAGGGGGGAGGGTATGCATGTATGGGAGTAGACGGTATATGGGTTTCTGTATATTTTTCTCTCAATTTTGCTATGAGCCTACAACAGCTCTAAAAACTATCTTTGAAAAGTGAAATCCTTAGGTCAAAATCTAACAAAATATGTAATGACTTGTATGCTAAAAACTACACTATGTTGGCGAAAGAACTCAAAGACCTAATAAATGGAAAGAAAATACTTATTTGTGGATTAGAAGACTCTACATAAAAATGATGTCACTTCTCCCCCAAAATGACATAGAGGTTTAATGTAATTCTGTCAAAATCCCAAAAAGATTTTGTGTGGCTATAGACATATTTATTCTAAATGTATACAAAAAGCAAGGAAACTAGAATAACTTAAAACAATTTTTAAAAAGAATGAAGTGGGAAGGATCAGTCTACTCAATTTCAAGACTTACATAGCTGCAGTAATCAAGATTGTGTGATATTAGTATAGGGAAAGACATAGATCACTAGAACAGAATAGAAGTCTTTCTTCTAAACAGAGGAATAGATCCACACAAATCATGGTGAAGTTATTTTCTACAAAGGTGCAGAAGCAATTCAGTGGAGGGGTAGGTAGCCTTGTCAACCAATGGTGCTTGAACAGTTATACACTGATAGACAAAAAAAATGAACCTTGACCTAAGTCTAATAACTTATACAAAAATTAACTCAAAGTTGAGTGTTGGATTTAAATGGAAACATAAGACAATAAAACTTCTAAAAATAAATGTATGAGAAATCTTTGAGATATAGGACTAGGCAAAGAGTTCTTAGATTTGACATCAAATGCATGAGCCATAAAATGAAAAATTGATAAGTTGGGCCTTGTCAAAATTAAAAACTATTGTTCTGCAAAAGAACCTGTTAAGAGAATGAAAAGTCAAGATATATACTGGGGAAAAATATTTTCAAACCACATATCCAACAAAATACTAGTATGGACTATATAAAGAACTCTGACAACTCGTCATTTAAAAAGCAAACAATCCAATTTGAGAATGGGCAGAAGACAGACATTTCACTGAAGAGGAGAATATACAGATGGCAGATGAGCATGTTAAATGATTTTCAGCGTTATCATTAGGGAAATATAGAGAGCACAATGAGATCATCACTATGTAGTCACCAGAATTACTAAAGTAAAAAATAGTGACAACACTAAATGCTGGCAAGGATGCAGAGAAACTGAATCACTGGTGTTGCTGGTGGTAATGTAGAATGTAGTACTTTGAAAACCAGTTTGTCAGTAACAGTTCTTTAGATAGAGCCTAAAAACAAAAAACAACTTAATATGCAATTACCTAATAGTCCAACCTTTGTCCCAGAGGAATGAAGATTTATCCTCACATGGAAACAAATACATGAATATTTATAGCAGTTTTATTTGTGGTGGTCAAATACTGGAAACAACCCAACTATGAGTAAATATATTTTGGTACATCCACATGAAATATAGCTTAACAAAAAGAAGTGAACTGCTGACATAGGAAACAATAGAGAATTAGGCTGAGTGAAAAAAGTCAGTCCTGAAAGATTATATTTTATGTTTCTATTTATTTAACATTCTTGAAATGAAAAAGTTACAGACATGGAGAACAAATTAGTGGATCAGGGTTAAGGAGGGGTCATGGTAGGATTTAGATGTGTCTGTAAAGGGGCACCATGAGGAATCTTTGTAAGGATGGAAATATTCAGTATTTTGACTATATCATTATAAGTATCTTGGATGTGATATATATAGTTCTGCCAGATATAACCATGGGCAGAAACTGAGTAAAGGATACAAAAAAAATCTCATTTCTTTTAACTACATGTGAATCTTCAGTTCTCTCAAAGTAAAAATGTATTTTAAAATGGAATATTCAACTATTATTTCTAGTATTCTACTCATATAAGGATGTAACTGTGTCTACTTTTTAATAAGATGTATCTCCAGAAGAAAAGAGTCAGGGAGTTCTTAAGAAGTCATTCAAATAGCCAGAGACATGAAAGTTGTCTTCAAAAAAATTGGAAAAGGCTGATGTGTTCTGGTACTTAAATTACAAGCTGCAAGTGTCTACTGTATGCCAAACTCTTGGTTAAACCATTTATAAACCTTCTCTAATCCTGACATATACTTACAGTACAGGAATTATTATTTGTTTTACAGATTTAGAAACTATATATTGTTTATGCATTGCTGAAAGTCATACTGCTGTGATAATAAGTGGCAGACACAGAGTCACAAGAAGAGCACACTTTACCTTTTAAACCAATAAACTTAATTATGAAAGACTGTTTCAAAGCAAAAAAAAAAAAAAGAATGTGTCTTCTGCTCTTTGAATTGAGATTATGAATGTCAAATAGTGAATTCAGTGTTCAAATCATGACTGGATAGTCATCTTTCAGTGATATTCTAAGTACAGTTTTGTATTTTACAGAAAGTTTTGCTACACCAGTTGAGAATGCATTTCTCAACCAAGAGGATTCTGCTTCCCTTTTCCCTGACCTCCAGAGACATTTAGCCATGTCTGGGTAGTCTGGGTATATTTTTGGTTGTCACGATTGGGGGGCAGGTGTGTACTACTGGCATCTAGTTGGGATACTGCTAAACATTCTATAGTGTACAAGACAGACCTCCTGCCCCCCCACTAACAAAAAATTATCAGACTCTAAATGTCAGTGTTGTTGATATTAAGAAACCTTGACTGACTCATAGACGGTTCCCTTTTAATTTAATCTTCTCATTGAAGTTGCCATTATTCACTTTCTATAATTTTTTCTTTGGTAATTTTACTAGTCTTTCTCCTGCCAGCAATGCTTGGATGATTATAATGAATGAATCAGAAATATTGATAGTTTTCTCCCATTCTTGTTTTCATTAATAGACTGCGGCAGAAGTTGGAATAATTGAGAGTATTCAGCTAAAAAACTTCATGTGCCATTCAATGCTTGGACCCTTTAAATTTGGTTCTAATGTCAACTTTATCGTGGGCAACAATGGAAGTAAGTGCTTTTTCACTTCTCAATTTACTTTGAGCAATACTCTGAGATTAGAATACATTAACTTTTTGAAATAGGTGACTATTAGTGATGACAAGAATTTGGTTTATAGATCCTTAACTTGTGATTATTAATATTCTCAGTATTTGCTGCCAGTATGCACTTAAAACAAATACTGAGTTAACTCTAGGTTCATTATGTAAGCAGTAGGGATATACATTTCTTGTCTGTGTTTTTTAATCCATTTCCCTTGGGATCTGTATCATAGAAAGGTAGAGGAGCAATCCTCATTGCGATTGAGGCAGCCCTGTGTCTTACCTTTACTAAACATTGTGATGGAGCACAAATGAAGTGCCTTGGCTATCGCAGCATGAAAATAACTAATTCTCATTGTTGTGGCCAGCAAAGGCTTTAAGAGGAGGTGATATTTGTGCTGGTACTTGAATGAAAATTACAGATTCTTTTCACCTCACTGGGGAAGAAGAAGGTGAGATGTTTCAGGCATAGATTGCTCATCAGCAAAGGTTTGGAAGAATTAAAGTAGATGTATATGGGGAATGGTGAATAACCTTATCTGGTTTATTATACAGTGCATCGTGGGGAGGGGCAGACACTAACTCTATAGAGTCAAGTTTTAGTGATAGGATCTTAAATGTCATAATAAAGATTTGGGGGCTTTATTCCAAGTCAATGGGGAGCCAATTAAAGTTTTTGAGTAAAGGAATATCATAGCCAAGATTTGTGAAACAAGCTAGCTACATTGTAGAGGATGGATTAGAAGGGCAAAAAGACAACAAGACAGAAAGACTGGTTAGGCAGCTCTGTGATGGACTGGCCAGGCATGAGGTAGACTGCTAGACTAGAAGGTACACAAGGAAAGGAGGCTTGCAGTGGAGTCTACCAGTGGATGATACTGCTAGAATAGGAAGCTAGGTATGTGTAGCTCCACAGTCCGTTTTGTTGTTCTCTGTTGTCTTATTCTATATTCAGTCCAAAAAAAAGTGTTTTTAGGAGGAGAGGATGGACAGACAAAGGTATCAGTGCTTCAGAGGGGTCACGTGGAACAAAAAGTAAAAAAAATACTAAAGTTAGGTCTTTTCTTTAGGTTTTTTTTTTTTTTTTTGAGTTGGAGTCTCACTCTGTCGCCCAGACTGGAGTGCAGTGGCTGCTCCCGGCCACTGCAGCCTCGACCTGTTGGGGCTCCGGTGATCCTTCCACTTCAGCCTTCCAAGTAGCTGGAATTACAGGCGCACACTACCACGCCTGGCTAATTTTTTGATTTATTGTAAAGATGAGGTCTCACCAAGTTGCCCAGGTGGGTCTCGAACCTGCGGGCTCAGGCAATCCATTCACCTCAGCCTCCCAAGGCGCGGGACTACAGGCTGAGCCACCGAGCCCGGCTAGTTTTTTTAAATTATTCACTTTTACAACAACGATATTATTAACAAAATAGAAGGGGAAATGACGCAAATAGTGGAAGGAGTACATTTGGTAATGAAAAAGGAGTTAGAATAGGAGCTTAAGGCTTTCTGGGAACTAAATTGGGTTAATCAGTGGTGTGGTTTTGTTACTCTGGGGTATATTGCAGAAGTATAGTGGGCTATTGAAGTTGACTGGGTTGGTTGATCATGAAGTTCAAAAAATGGTTACCATGTTCTGGGTAATTGTTACAGATTTTGAAACTTCAGCCTGTGATATTTGTGTCAATTAGGTTTAAAAGGTACATTTTTTTAAAGAGCTAGAAAATGTATAATATTTAAATTAGGAATAATAATTTTAGAATATTACATAAAACCATCTCTATGATTTTACTAATTTTTCCTATTTAAGTTCATTCACTCAGCAAATATTCAAGTACCTATTATGTGCTGACATTGGAGATACAACCTTGAATGAACAGGACAGCAATTCCTGTCCATATGGTGCCTGAATTTGAGGGATGTTTAAAATAGTTTCTGATGTCTGAGAATTTCTGAAAAAAGTACATAATTGTAACTAAATTAGAATAAATTGATAAAGATTAGACAAATTGAGTATATATGTGTAAATAGAGGAATAAGTTAATTTATTAAGCTGATGGGCTGAGATGATACAATGAGAGTATCAGTTTGGGAAGATATCCCAACAGTTTTTTCCATTTCCTTGCTAGTGGCAGATTTTGATTCCTGAAATGTATTCACTTTTTTTCTAACAGTGGCAGCTAAATGTTTCATGACATATACAACTTTTTAAAGCTTGCTACATTGGCACGGAAAGAAAATTATAATTGAATTATAACATTTTATTTTAGGGTGACACTAATTCATTCAGAAACCTTTTTGCGTCAAATTGTAGGAGTCGGCCTTTTCTTTTTTTCTTTAATGAAAGTGACTTCTTCAGCATCTGTTTTTTAGGTGGGAAGAGTGCGATACTCACCGCTCTCATAGTTGGTCTTGGTGGAAAAGCAGTTGCTACTAATAGAGGATCTTCTTTAAAAGGTTTTGTGAAAGATGGACAGAAGTAAGTATTTGTTTTCTACCATCTATTTTCAGTTCTTTGGTAAGAAACATCTACTTTAGATTCTCAATTCACATAGATATGACTGGAAATGAAGTGCCTTCCCCAAATTAGTAGCAGAGGTATCATATCTTTTCATTCCTTTCTTTTGCCCTTTGTTGCCAGCATGGCCCACTGTTGCCTATTGCCTACTTGAGACTGATAGCTTGTTTAACTTATTGCCATGTGCCTGCCCATCTATAGTCATGCTTCTGTTACCTTTCTGGAGGAAATGGTAGAGATAAATTTATGTACTCTCTTGAAAGGTGTGTTTATAAACATTGCATGTTCCTGAATCTTGGCCTAAACTTGGCATCAGCAGGCCCACATTAATACAATAGAGAGGGAGAGAAAAATCAGTGACCAGCCAAGGGTCCTATCCACAAAATTTCTGTCTTCAACTCTCTAAGCATTCCAGAAGAGTACTTTACTTTTGATTGATTTTATACCCTTTACCCAGGTGGGTGGCCAGTGATTTTTGATTTGAGGACCACAATCATACGTCCATCTGTGGTCCATGCTGGACCCTTCCTTGATGAATTGTCATATCACTACTCTTTTTGATTTTACATTTATATTTCTGTCTGTCGGAGTATGCCTTCACATAGCTATGTATTATTTGTCCATTTTGTATCATCATGAACTAGTTGCCTTTTGTCCACTAGCAGCTTTTTCTTCAGCCTTATCTCTTTATTCTTTTTCATACTGCCCCAGATACCACTGAAGGAATCCTTATTTTTTGTAATGACTGAATGTCCTAAATGCTGTCATACATCTCCCACTGTGAAGCTCCTCCCACTGCTTTTTCTCTCACATACCCAGTGCCCAGAACATTTGAAACATTCATAATAATCTTTTTTCTTAGGTAGTAGACTTTCCTTCTGCTCGGAGTTATGTCCATTTATTTTTTTATTTTTTTTTGAGTCGGAGTCTCACTCTGTTGCCAGACTGGAGTGCAGTGACCGCTCCCGGCCACCGCAGCCTCAACCTGCTGGGCTCAGGCGATCCTTCCGCCTCAGCCTTCCAAGTAGCTGAAACTACAGGTGCGTGCTGCCACGCCCAGCTAATTTTTGATTTATTGTAGAGATGAGGTCTCACCAAGTCGCTCTGACGAGTCTCGAACCTGCGGGCTCAGGCAATTCACTCACCTCGGCCTCCCAAAGCATGGGATTACAGGCTGAGCCACCGAGCCTGGCCTATGTCCATTTAACTTCTCCTTTTTTATCATTAAAAAATATAATGGAGACAGGATGTAAATCATGTCTGCAGACTTCTGTATTGCTCAGGAGTCTTAGGAATCTTAACTTTAAGCAAAGATTCCAACTTGACTCAAGAGAGTGGGAAAAGATAGATAGAAAATTATTTTCCATGCTCTGTGGCCTTGGAAAAGAACTATTTGATAACAATTTTCCAACATAGTTTATCTTTCTTTGAGCCCAGCCCAGCAAGATCTTTTTTCCATGCTCAAATACCACTATGTCTGAAGTCAAATTATTTAACACTTTTAAGTTAATAGTCTCCACACTATTTCAGTTCATTATACTTGACTGTCATATCATTTCTTAATTTTCCAAACAATTACTTAGTCTACTTGGCAAGATAACACATTGACTTTTCAAATATGAGCTTCAATAAGAAATTATTCTTATGTGCCATTAGATGTTTTATGTCTTAGTTAAATATTTTTTATTTTTAGTTTTTTATTTGAGAAGTACCAAAGAAGAAACTTCTTTCTGAAACCTGTCCTCTGAATAATGTTTAAAAAAAAAAAAAGACTAGAATACACAAATAATTGACTTTTAAGGACATGGCTGCCTATAGAGGAGAGCATTAATATATTTTAAAAGAGTTAGTAATAGCTAAAAAAAAACCTTACCTGAGCTTAGTCTCCTTTTCCTTTTTTACTGACCTTGTCTAAGAAAGTAACTAAAAGCAGAGCTTTTTCAAATCCATTCCTGTTCCTTTTATCATCCCGTCTTATTTAAATATTTGGTATCTATAAAATTTTCCTTGTATTATAGTTTCTGATTCTGTCATCACTCTCTTGCAGAATCAGCTCATTGAGGATTTCAGTTCTATTCTTACTCTATTCCACACGTAAACTATGCATCTGTCCCACTTTGCCTGAAGAATGTCTGTCAGTCTGTCACAAATTTGAGTTAGTCCTAAGAATTCTCTCCCTCTCCTCCCTCCATCTCCAACATTACACTCCCCATCTGTGACACCTGGGCTGTGAGCTTCCTTTCTTGGGGCATTTCAATTCTCTTTGGAAATGCTTGTCTAACATGGTTAGACAAAGCCACAGAACTGTGCCTTGAGACACTTTGCCTGGGGCTCAGCTCTCTGGTTATCCACCAACCCTTTGCAGTGGCACAGGGACCCGGAATGAATTCTCCTAATATATCTCTTCACTTGAAAACCACTTTCAGTGACCCAGGGTCTCAGGCCCCTTGTTATTTAGGCTCTTTTTGAGCATGCTCAGTTCACTGTTCTCTCCCTTGGCAGTTTTAGTACTAACCCTGTGGCCTTGAAGTCTTTGCAGTAGTCCTATTTTTGACATCAGCTGTGCCACAAGAGTTATTGACAGATAAAACTCATACTTCTGTTTTATGTTCCTGATTTTGTTAGTCAAGGATACAGAACTTTTGACCCCCGAGCTGGCAACCTAGAGAAGGATTTTTTAATATGACTTTTTCCTTTTTTCTTGTTCCCATCAGTGTGTGCTGCTGCCAGTTACCTCACTGTGTGTACGTTCTTACATAGTTAAGAAAGAAGCCAAATTCTTACTATGGCACTACTTTTTTATGTTGTCATTCTGAATGAACACTCACTGATAGTCTCACTTAAGGGTCTCCTGTATTTAGAGATATTTGACTGACTCTTGACCGAAATTCAGTATTAGCAAAGACTACATCATTATAGTGGGGGAGGCTGCAGAGCTAGTACCCAGATTACTTGTCCCTGTTTCCTTGCACAAGTTTTTGTGAGCAGTAATTATGAGGCATTTTTTATAAACATTTTTAAAAGAACTTTCATTTCTGATGCTTATTTAAATTCATATAGCAGTAGGATTACCAGTGCCTCCAAAGTTCTCACTATACTGAAGATATCTCTTGGATACAAAGAGTAGCTAGGAATGAAGTAATAAAGTAGATGTTTGATAACTCAGAGAGCAAATATATGTTGTCATTTTTAAAGTATTTTCATGGAGTACATTAACTTTATTACTAGGTAATCATACTAGCTAATGAAATAAAATATTTGTTTGCTCCATATCATAGGCTAGTTGCCTTTCCCATTTCATACTTCAGTTAGTGATTCTCTAACTGTTCATTAGAATCAATTTGGGGCGCTTTTAAAAATCTCATTATGATTTTTTAGATGTATATATGTCTTAATTAGGTAAATTTTAAAAATAATACATTTACTCAAAGTAAGGAAAGTCTTTACCATAAAGATGTAGACATGTATCTTGGAAACTGTAGGAAAGAAGTATAGCTGGATCCCATGAGGGACCAGATGAAGACCCCACAGGAACCAAGTATCTTCTGTCTCTGGGACTTTCTTTTTTTGTGTTTCTGGCTGTCTCTGTGTTTTTGACTCTCTTTGTTTTTGACTCTGACTGTCTCTCTTCTCTTCCTTTCCTTCAGCATGTTCTGCAACTCTCCTCCATACCACCACCCTCACCCTCCCACCTTAATTGTCCGTACCTCTGAGTAAATTTGCTCTCCTGTCTCCTGTCTCTCCATAGGACAAGTGTGCAAGTACTGTTTCTTTTCTCTCTAACTTTCTCTGAAGTATGTGTGCTTTCTATTATATAGCTAAGTTTGTTACTCTGTGCCTTCATGTGTGCAGGCATTTTTGTCTTATTTCCTTACTCTGGGGGCTGGGATATATTTGTGTGTGTGTGTGTGTGTGTGTGTAAGGAAGTGATCTTTTGTTCTCTTTGTCTCTGATTTACTAACAGTATCTATGAATGTCTCTTTTTATCACTCTGTCGTGGTGGTTTTCCAAGAGCTTATCTGGTCTATGCTTCTATTTCTCTCTGCAGAGTATTTTCTCATCAAAGTACAATAACCCAAATTCAGAGCCCTTATAACCTTGTAGTTCCAAGGAATCACCATGTAGTGACTTGGCTGTGTCAATTTGAATTTTTTAATATTTTTACTTGAAACAACTGTAGATTTACAGAAGTGTTTCAAAGATACTACAGTTTCCTGTATATCCTTCACTCAATTTTCCTTATTGTAGATATCTTACATAACTAAGATGCATTTATCAAAGCTATAAAATTTACATTAGTACACTATTAATTACAGACTTTTTTTCACCTGTTTTTCTTTGTTTGACTTTTTGAAGAAGAGCGTACATTTCTATGTTTAACTCAATTCCAGCAGGACAGGATGGAGACTGATATGATTGCTAAGCCCTTTCTTTCTGCTAAGGCACCTGCAAAGAAGAGGGTAGGGAGCAAGAGCAGAGCAAACACTTCACTATGCCTACTGTTATATCAGTAGTTTATAGTGAAGTTCATCTTGAGTGTTTGTTTCTACATCTCCTGCAAATGTGAACTGTTTTGTGATTACAGATTCACAAAGACAGATTTGTTCTGTTAAAATTTTAATTTAATTACCAATTAAAACAGTTTTGTAACAAAGGACTTTAGCAAAATTTTGACAAAATGCTCATGTGAACCAGGGAAAATATTGTCTGCTTTATGTGTAAGGAACTTCTAAGTGTGTATTAATATTCATCAACATCTTTTTTGTTTTTCTACCATGTCTTATTTTAACAGAAGCTAGAGTATACAAATAAAGTTTGATATTTTTCCCCCTTGTATCTTAAACTATGCATGACTATAGATGTCTAACGCATCTTTAAAACTTTAAAAACTGTAAGAGTGTATCAAGAAGATTTATACTTTTAACATTTTATATATGTGTTTAGCTGCATTATGCTATTTTAAATTAATTATTTTTTAATGCTAATAAAGCTTTAAGAAATTTTGGGCTTCAGTTTGTATTTATTGGTATCAAATACTTTATTATTGCCAAGGGATTGAAAAATTAAAATTACTTCCCTTAATTCTGATTTTTCTTAGAAAACATTACTTTACCATGATTCTTACTTCATCTTTTTTTTTTTTTGAGTCAGAATCTCACTGTGTTGCTCAGGCTTGAGTGCAATGGCATGGTCATGGCTACTGCAGTCTCGACCTGCTGGGCTGAGACGATCCTTCCACCTCAACCTTGCAAGTAGCTGGAACTATAGGTGTGCACTAACACGCCCGGCTTATTTTTTGATTTATTGTAGAAATGACATCTCATGAAGTTGCTGAGGTTGGTCTCAACCTCTGAGCTCAGGTAGTCCTCTCGCCTTGGCCTCCCAAAGTGCAGGGATTACAGGCTTGAACCACCACACCTGGTCACTTCATCATTCTTAAATGCCTACTGTCAACATGGTGCTTTATTATATTATTCATAGTAATCAGGCAGTATAGTGTTGATAACACAATTTTTACCGGAAAATATTTAATTTATCTACATGACTTAAGCAACCAAAACTTGGTTTTTGTGCAAAGATGGTAGTTCTCTTATAGATAGGATAGTCAATCATTTTTTTATGACGCTTCATTCATTCTCTACTTTATTTTTTTGTTAGGTATGATATCTTTTAACATTATTCTGTAGTAGACTATCAACCATCAGCTGCTGGTGTAAAGCTAATTTTCAAATGAATTGGCCAGATTATATGGTGGCTTTGAAAAACTTGAAAATTCTTGTAACCAAGTGTTATAATTGCACGATAACTTCATGTGACTTGGCTTAACCTCATTGTTTTAGCTCAGCAGATATTTCAGTTACATTAAGGAACAGAGGAGATGATGCCTATAAAGCAAATGTATATGGTGACTCTATAATTGTGCAACAACACATCAGCATGGATGGAGGTCGAACTTATAAACTAAAAAGTCAAGCAGGTTTGTTATGATTTTCTTTTCGTTTCTTATAAAATATTAGTAAATGCTCAATTAAAAAGAGTTAGGCAGCTGTGCTGGTATTAATTGAAAGGTCACTTCTCAGTGTCTTGAAACCTCGTTTTGTAACATGATTGTAACATGTATGTTGTAGGTATGTATATATGCATATTGTTTGCATGTTTTGCCGCAGAACATTCTAGCAACAAAATCATAATTATTAGAATTTGAGTCAGTTTGAAACAGGCTATGCCATTTTATTTTTCACCTACAAACCTCCTTTTACCCCTATAGTTTCTATAGCATGTGGAAAGAGATGGTTAGCAAAAGCTACAAAGTAGCATAAAGGAAGAGGGGAGTATTTAGTTACTGAACAGAAGAGTTAGATGAGGAACAAAGTGATACTTAGCTATGGGAACCAGAAAAACACTAATACTACATCTGGGGATTTTTCTTCCTTTGTATTCTTTCACCATGTCCATTCAGATTTATACATGGTCAATAGTACCTTTCTTGATACACATTGAAAAGTAATTAATATTTATATTTTATAAGTAACTACTTTTTTCTGTATTATTGACCTAGAGACAGTCTGATCATTTTATGTATTTTTTATAACTAGGCACCGTGGTTTCTACTAGAAAAGAAGAGCTGATTGCAATTCTTGATCATTTTAACATCCAGGTAATGGCTAAATTTATGTTTCAGATTAATTCATGAAACTTGTTTTAAATGTGATTTTATTTGTGTTAGAGAAGAAATTCATATGATTTTATATGAGTAAACTGACCACAGGAAGAATATGTGTGACTATTATTAGTGAAGTTCTTTATAATGTACTAATTCAACACAAATTGAATTGTCAATATGTAATATAATAGCTTTAATTTGATGGAGCAGTCAAGAACATCTAGTATATACTGGTATATGCTAAAATTTATGTTAATAAGGCTGTAAAATTTCTTTGCTTTCTGTTGTTCTGGTCAAAATAGCATGAGTTTCCTAAATTGAGTTACTAAATCCTTGAAGAAAGAAAATTTCTTCTAGAAAGATAAAGTAATTCTATATGTATTTTGGAGTTATCAAGTCTGTGGGGGACAAGGCTTTAATTCTTTTTGCTAAGATACTTTTTCTAAATTAATCAGAAATGGCACATATAGCCCTACAAACATTAGTACTAGAATTGTCTTTAGAGGCCGCCTAATCTAGACCCTTTATTTTGCAGATGAGAAACTGGACTATGGTTGTACTTATGGTTATTTAGGTGTGGTTACTAGTAGAGCCTGAATGGGATCCAGGCATCCCTGTTTCATTGTAATACTTTATTCATTGTGCCATACTGCCTTGTTCCAGAATTAAGAACACCAGTTTTAGTCAACAAAGAAAAAGAAAAGTTAGGAGTCTGGATCTCTTTTCCAGTTTTGTTTATAACAGCTGTCTAGAACAACTTTCTGTGATAGTAGAAATGTCTTGTATAGAATCTATCCAGTAAAGTAACCACTAGCCACATGTAGCTCTTGGCCACTTGAGATGTGTGACTGAGAAATTTAATTTTTTCATTGTGTTTAATTCTACTGGAGTACAGAAAAGCCACATGTGGCACATGGGCTTGCATGTCAGACACCACAAGTTAAGGAAAAATAAGTATTAAAATTTGGAGAAAAGCAGATACAAATTTCAGCAGAAGCAAATAATTTTAGACTAGAATGCAGGATGATTTGTTAAATAGAATCAGGAAAACCGAGGAGCTTATGGAGTCATAGGTGTTGGGAGGACCTTGAGGGGTATCCGCTATAGTTTCCACACTCTGTACTTGCCCTGTGTAGAGTGTTCTGCAGGAGGTGCTTGAAAGAATAACGGTGGGAAAATCACCTCTGCTAGAGGCTGCTTACTCCTTCTGTAAACAGCTGTATTTATTAGAAAAATTTTCCCTATGTGGAAAGTTGAATAAAGCCTTTTCTAAGCTCCTGCTTTTTTGGGGAATGTAAAATATGTTTATTCTCTCAAAATATGTGAAGATTATTGTCATAGCTCCTTTAATCCTCTTCCTGCATGGTTTAGTTAGCCCACAATGAAAGATTCAGGTTCATTGACCAAAATACAGACGGTCTAGAGGTGCACTGTCCAGTGCAGTAGCCACAAGCTGTAGGTAGATATTGAGCACGTGAAATGTAGGTAATTCAAATTGAGATGTACTATAATGTGAAATACATGCCAGAATTTGAAGACTTCATGCAACGGAGTAACTCAATTTTTTTATATTGATTATATGATAAAATGATAATATTTTGTATATATTGGATTTAAAAATATTAAAATTATTATCACCTGTTTCTTTTTATGTTTTTAATGTGACTACTAGAAAATATAGAATTGTATATGTGAATTTACATTATATTTCTATGGGACAGTACCGGTCTAGAAAAACTGGAAAGAGGAGAGTATTTAATGTCTTTAAATACCTGATTATATTTGTCTCATATGTTTCCCCTTCTTATCCTTTTCTGAAATTTACCTGTTTGTGCTTGCATTTTGCTTTTTCCAGGATCCTAATAGGTACAGTTACAAGATTTTAAAATAATCCCAAGAATAGTATAGGAATGAGGAAATCCATTTCAGAAACAATCAAAAGGGTATTGAAAAAGAATATAAACTTTGGTGAAGCTCTTAACCCAAAGTTGGTGGTAAGATGTCATTGAAGCCATTGCATTAGATCTTACTTTTAAAAAGTCAGATGGAGTGTGAAATTAAGATCTAGGGAGACTTTGTAAAAAAAAGGATGGTACTTGGATCTGGTCTATCTGTATAATGAGAAAAATGTCACATGTAAAGATTTCTTTATAATTGCATAAATTAATTTTATTATCTTAGAAGAGAAGACCCAACATTTTACTTTAAAAGAATGCTTTATCTATTTATCTATTTGTATACTAACAATTTACACAGCCTATATTTTATAGAAAGTAAAAATGAAGAGTTTAGAGTTTTATTTCATTTATTTATAACCTACGAAGGAGTTTTTTTTTTTTTTTTTGAGTTGGAGTCTCACTCTGTCACCCAGGCTGGAGTGCAGTGA